ATGCCCAGATAGCCCGATTGGTTAGTTGATAGTTTAGTAGTCTTTTGGTTAAGATCTATATTTGACTTTAATAGGTGGTGGGTGCCCCACCCACTTACCGAATATATTATAGGGAAAATGGAAGCTAAGTTAATCTTAAAGGAGGGTGTTGGGGTATGCTATTACGTCGTATTTGTCCTAGGACTTCATATATAGTTACCTGCCTCTCCTCTTTTCCTTTGCTCTCTTTTCCCCAAGTCAGTATTCAGATAGCATCCAATACAGTTATATTGGTCTCTTCTTCTATAGCATACGTGCCATGAGATTCTCACAACTAGCCCCTGCCTTGCCCTTGTGGCTCGGAAGCGTGAATGCGAACCAGAACTGGGCAGGCTGGGCAGGACCGGGAGAGCAGACGAAGTGGTCCGCCGCCTGCTGTAGCCCGAACGTCGTGGATGTTGATGTCGCCATCATTGGTGGTGGTTCCGGTGGTATCCACGCCGCAATTCATTTGAAGGACGCCGGCGCTAGCGTTATGGTCATCGAAAAGAAGGACCAGATCGGCGGCCACGCAGAAACGTACACCAACCCTACCACCGGCGTCGTCGCTAACGTCGGTGTTATCGTTTTTGAGAATACAGACCTGGTTAAGCGGTACTTCGCTCGCCTTGGAGTCCCCATAATCACTTCCAACCCCCGGACAAGCCCAAGTTCAGCAAAGATATATGACTTCGCCTTAGGCATTCCTATCCCGGCCCCGGATGACCAAGAGCAGGCCCTTCAAGCTGCCGCGCAAGCCTACACGAAGAATGTGCTGAGCAAGTACGGATGGATTGACCAGGGCTTTTTGGTCCCGGACCCCGTTCCTAAGGAGTTGTACCTGCCCTTCGGCCAGTTGTCAGAGAATTACAACTTTTCTGCTCTCCTTCCTATTACCGCACAATTCAACTGGTATATGGGCAACCTCACGACACTCCCCGCCCTATACGGCATTAAGAACCTCGGACCCGGCTTGCTCGGTAGTGTCCTAGGCGAGTTCATACTATCTGGCACAGGCGACAGCAGAAGCCTATACGACGCGGCCCTAGAGGAACTAGGCTCCAGTATCCTCTTGAATACCACTATCCTTAATATCGATCGTCACTCCAATTCTACTAGTGTGACTCTCTCGGTTACCCAGCCCGGAAGCGCCCCCAAGACAATCCGTGCCCGTAAGTTGCTAGTCGCCATCCCGCCGACCCTAAAGAACACCTGGTCCTTCGACCTCTCTAAGCAAGAGATAGCCATCTTCTCTAAATTCTCCTCCCTCACCTACTTTACCGGCGTGGCTAATGTCCCCGGTTTCAATGGCTCGTTTATCAATATGGGCGCCCTGACTCCTTTCAACCAGCCCATCATTCCGGGTAACAGCGGCTTCACCGCCACCGGATCGCCTGACGAATTCCTGATCGCAGGGGGCTTCGACAGCGGAGACGTCACGGATAAGGAAGGAAAAGACCTCGTCCGTAAGAACCTGGCCACTCTAGCGGCGGTGGGTGCCGTCCCGGCGGATGCGGCACATTCTGTCACCTTCCCATACACCTCCAACCACGCGCCGTTTAACCTACGTGTCACGGCCGAGGATATCAAGGCTGGCTTCTACACCAAGCTGCTGGCGCTGCAGGGCTCCCGCAATACGTACTGGACTGGTGCGGCGTTTTCTGGCCACAACAGCGCTCTGGTCTGGAACTGGAACGAGGGAACGATTGTGCCTGGTCTGAAGAAGGACCTTGGCCTGGAATAAGCCGTCGAGGGACTTTACCCTATTAGCTATTGTTGAGGCTACGGCAGCTAAAATCATGGAAACTAAGGAAGAAGGATCTGCTGCATTCAATCTAACAAGGAGAGGCCAGTTATAGAGGTCTAGAAAGGCAAACAAGCAAAGGCTCAATCTGAAAAACAAGTTATCCATGGAGGATGGGATGGTCCAACACTATTTCATTCCTCCATGTAACCTAGCCTGGGAGGTGGTGGTAATTTCGCTTAATAATTTGCTTTGACTCACCTACATTATCTGCGAAATTGAATAATTACTATAATACTATGCTGTCAGGTCGAAGAGGCTTGAAGCCGACCTGACGCGACCGACATTAAGCTTCAGCCTATCCTCTACAAAAGGTCACTTAGCCCGCTCCTAGACCCAATTTCCAAAGCTTATCCAACGACTTAAGCAGTAAATCAGATCCACAGGTTGCCCTTCGACCAAAAACGGCAGCATGTCTTGGAATTAGTCGACGAAAACCGTTCGATTCGTGCCCGGGGGAACTGTCCCGAGCGATACTTGTGATATATCTTGCCACTCAGCCCGGCGCATCTCCTATTGTTAATGTTAACCTGCTGTCAAACGTCTATTTCTAGAGCTCCAAGGTTGGCGGTCCATGCTCTTCTTCGACGCATGAGTATCTATTCCGTCACCATACCCACGTCTCCGAAATACAACTTGCGCTGCTCTTCTATGAATTCCTGTCATCTGAATCGCCAGGCTCTTATTCTATTCTTGGTTATTTCCTTTTTCCCCGTCGTGGTTATTGCTGTAAGTTGAGCTTTGAGGCCGTGTCTCACTCAATATTGTCCGAAGTGACGAGGGGACGAGGAAGGAGACACCCAAGTTGTTTGCTATTAGATTAGGTATGTATTTGAACATCGATCTCAGTTCTTGTTGCTTTCCTTCCTTCTCCTCGCCCTGAGTTCCTTGATCTGCGCGAACATCTCCCACCTATTCACAGTCACATCTACATCAAACAAGTTCATAACAGTAACTAGCCACATATCTTGATCATGGCTTCCAATAAAGTTATCAAGGCTAAAGCTACCAGAAGACTGCTGCTAAGCCCACCACCAAGCCTGAGAAGCTCGCCCCGGAAGAATCAAACTTGTCTCCCACCCATCAGGTACTTTACACTAATATAACTATCATATCCCAGATCGACTTCGGCGCTCTTGCCCGACACTATGGCATCTCCACTAATGCCGCGGGTCTGCGCTTTCTAAGTGCTAAAGATTGTGTCGCTAAACTTGAGGGCTAGAGAGGCAGCTCAGAAGGGCGACAAGGCCCTTGAAAACACAGAGGATGAGGAGGCCTGGAAGGACAAACAAAACAAAAAAACAATGAGCTCACTGCACTGGAAGGGAAGAGCTTTACCGCGATATGATGTTGGAAGTGTGGTTGTCCGGCCCTCATGTTTGTCAAGGATATCTCTCTGCCACACATATCCCTCACTCCTTCCATAGTTAGTCTCTGCATGATCTTCCAATGTCATCTACTTTCTTCGGGCTGTACCCCAATTGATTGTAGGGAAGGACTACTATTGCTACAGGGTGAGCTCGTAGGTTGTGTCCCGCACACATATTCCACGCGCCCGACACCGAGAAACAAGAGGATCGGTGTAATTGCAAATAAGTTGAAAGCACCATAAAATATCACAAAAAGCCTGAATTTGTCAAGGTATCAAGATTCCAAATGTACATGTATTTTAACGCCGTCACAATTGAGTGTATCTACTTGCCTCCAACAACCATCCAGGATATAGCCCCGACCCAGAATATAACGAAGATCGCAGTCAAGATTCCTGCGCCAACCCTATCACCCGTGGTGATCGGCTCGGGCCCCACGCTACCCTCGGGATTTGAGCCCCCGTGTGGGTCGCTTTTGGATTTCCCACCATTGTCAGCATTGTAAGGGCCCTCGGCCGCGAATGGGACCAGGACAGCATTAAGAACACCCAAGACGGACATCTGCTGCTCCAAGCCGATGGTCCCATCCCATTCCGACTTTTTCGTCCAACGAATTCCACAATGCTTCCCATCGCTCCCACCGGAGCATTGTTGACCGGCAGCGACAGCGGAGGCCTTGAATTTCCCCATTATCTCCGACGTGACATTGGACGGCACTATCAGCGACATGAATCCTAGCCATGAAGTGAAATAGGTCTTGAAGGTTTTCTGGTTGCGATCGCACTTATTGATCGGCTCGCAGGTGATGTCGGATATGATTTGTTTCCCACCGGATTCAGGGAAAAACTGATCAGATGTCTTGATCAGTCCTGTTATGCCTTCAAGCCATTTGCTCTCGGTGCCATTGGTCTATAAAACCTGTTAGTTTTGACTATACTTGTTCGGGGACAGGGAATAGACGTGCGTAGTTGTGCATATAGCCTGCACCGGAGATATACGTGGCGTAGTTGTAAGTCCATTGGTGATCACCATGATCCTTGCAATTCGCAGCGTTGGTAGTGGTATCGGCGATAACCCAGGTTTTCCTCAAGAGTGGCGTAGAATGACTCCAATCCCAAATCTTCTCGGCCCACTCGGCATAGGTCGCATTCTTGGTATATAGTGCCAGACGCGCTGACAGCTGGAACAAGCCGCCATTGGAGATGGCGTTTTTCAAATTATACCCATCCTGGTAAGGCCAAATCTGCCACCGCAAACCACCACCGCAAGCGGTCATATCCCAGCGAGGGATTTGTCCATTGAAGACACCCTCGGCAAGAGAAATCCACGAGGGTTCGCCCTCTCTTTCTGGGAAGTTCAGTTCGCCCGCGGTCATCGCCGCTAGTCCCCAGAACACTTGATCGTCGTTACCGAGGTACTGGGAGTAGTTGCTTGGGAAAAAGTCGTTGTCGTCGCCCTTTTGCCAATACATGCCTTCCTGAATGGCGTCGTTGAACTGGCTGTCGCCGGTTAAATACCAGTACTGGATGAGGGTCATAAACATCGAACCACCCTCCCACCAGGTTTCGTCGAATTTCCCTGGGATATCTTTCGAGTCGCGGGCATTGTAGAAATCGATCATTGTGGTGGCGACGGTCTTGGCGGCATTTTTGAGGGACGCTGTCGGGAGAGGTACATGTCAGTCATTTGGGGTGCTTAGCCAGCGTACGAAATGAACCTACTCTCATCCTCAGGGTTAACATCAATGGCGAGAACATTTTGTACGAGAAGGCAGGTCAAAAGGGTGGTCAACCACCTAGACATAATCACAGGCCCCATTTGACACGAGCGGAACGGTGACCGACATCGGAGAAAATGCATCGGACTGAGAGATAGAGAGCAGAAGTTAAGTGCATTGAGATTAAGAGGAGAATATGAGTGTGCATCTCCTAGAACAAAGGTAATAATACAATGGAACCCATCAGATGCTATCGAATCACCACGATGAAACCAGTCACTTGGCAAAGAGGCGCCGAAATGAGCTGGTTTATGAACGGAGTGCTAATTCCAAGACATTGGCACAACCAATCCTGCTGCCTGACTTTGTCTGGATGCAGCTATATTCAGCACTGCCCAGTTTTCAGGCTCTTGGCGTTGAATTTTCCTTTGGGAAATGAGCGTGTGGTAATGCCAAGACGCCCCCTTACCCGGCGTATCCGGGGTCGGCGGTTAGGGGAAGCATAAATTCTGCATTCGAATACCTTCTAACACACTCTTCAAGTCAGAACCATGAAAGTCCCCCGGCATATTTACGCTGGAAAGAGTTTCTGAATATCAATTCCCCCAGATAGGGGGTAATATGCCAAGTCGTTTCCGCTGGCGCGGAGTGTCACGAGCGCCAAATTGGGTCTTGGCGGTACTGTGGAAACTCGAATTTTATTTTTAGTGGCGCCAAGAAATGCGCCAAGATCTGGCACTGCCACTTTCTCCTTTTGCGGGAATCAACTGGGAATCAACTGCTTCTGGGCTAGTGGCATAGTCGATGAAGCTTAATACTGTAGTTTCATGCACAACTCAGATCCTGGAGAAGGCTTCAAAGTTTAAGGCCCATGTTGTTTCGATTCGCAGTACCCCGTACTCCGCATCCGCATCTCTATCGAACAATCTGGGAGCCATCTGTCCCAGAGCTCAAATTTTGGAGACGAAGCTTGAGATCGTGCTGCCGTTCTTTGTTTAGTGCTCTCCTGAAATCTTAGGCTTATAATTCTTCCCGTTCTATAACTACCCGTCCTTACTGATCGGATCGCCCCCAGAACCTCAAAGCTTATATGAAGAACACTGCAAAGCCGACCCGTTTCTGATGACGTCCGCGGCGGACGTGCACCGGGAAGATCTAATGCGCCGCCTCCCGCGCTAGCGCTGCGATGAGTGCCTTCAGGGTAGCACGGTGATTCGACGTCAGATCACTCAAACATCCAGTGCAATCCCCCATATTGTGGCGCAATTCTATTCGAAATCCTTCAAGGCAAAGTTCATGGGCGTCTCGTCCAGCCCATCGCATCTGGCTTCTTCGACCTATTTGCGCCTCCAAAGCGTCCTGAAATGTTAAGGATTTCCATTTCGAGATCGACGTTTTTCGCTATGAGCTTGAAGCGAACCCTGATCATTATGAACGGGACTAGCTCAGGAGCCGCCTATGCGATTTATAACGATAAGTCCGAAGAGTTTGCTACCTGTTTCCGGCGAGGCGTTCTCGACGCCACAAGGTTGCGAAACGGGTGAAGGACTAGCTCACCGACGACAGGGATACTCAAAACCCAACAGAGACTGACGATCGAAATCCACAAATTTATCATCTAGCGCTGTGATGGTGACGATTGGTTGGGGGAATTGTCGCACTTCGGGCTGTGACTGCTAGATAGGCTCTCTAGTGGGCCTCGCGCCCTGTAATGATGGGGTTTCTGCAGATGATGGCGGCAATGCAGTGGGTAATGGGCAGGAACGAATATGGCAGAAGCTCAAAGAACGAAGGGAAGGGACGGGGAGACCAATGTGAAAGATAGCGACTCGACTTTCTCGCTTTAGGGACTACCAATATTTGAATTGGATAATTTCGACTCTGTTTAGCAAGTATCCAATTCACTCAAGAAAGTGACAGCATCAGCTGCCATGTGGTAGACCGGATTGGGTTAATTCAGTGCAAAATCTCTGGTATCGAAGCTACGGAAGGATAGGAAGTACCATTCTCATTATGTATAAAAGTGAACTGTATATACACGTAGTTCATTGTCACGGTCGCCTGGTCCACCCAGTCGTAGGCTCTCCCTGCGTTTTGTGTCACCAGGGAACTGCCTCGCGACCTAGCAAGCCAATTGCTTCATTCGCCAGGGACATGTTCGTTAACATAGTCTACCTGGCAGAATGATCCACATTGGCCCTGTATGAAGAAGCGAGGAAGCTCTGGGTGGCCATGGCCAACAGACCAGACGGAGGAAATATCTCTCCCAAGCGGACGGGTTCTGACTGCAAGTCGCTCGACACAAACCACAGCTCAATGTCAGGAGGGAAATCGCATCTGCGCCTTCAGCCCATAGGAAATGCAACTGTGCATAAAATGGGTGCGCGTCTTCGGTTGTATTTGCTGATCCAGCTTCAACCGCGGCAGTCCATATGAAAACTGGGGGGAAGTTCTTCCCTCTCTAGTTACCATCTAGGCAACAAGAAAAGGCCAAAACCAGTGTCCAACTCAGACCACCGAACTCTGCTTCCCATCCTCCAATGCCTCCCCAGGCTCCCTAATACCACCACCGACATGTTCAATCGCAGATTGATTCTCACCAGAATCATGCCCCTCATTCTCAATCTGAATATCCATTCCCATCCCCTCCTTCCACATATTCACCAAACTCGTCGCGCCCATGCGCTGGTTTTCCTCCTGGATATTAGACTTGACGCCAGCGCCGATAGGATACTTCTTGCTCGAGAGTGTATCAGCCAATTCTTTGAGTGGGATACCCGTCTCATCACTGATCAGATCTTCGTAGATGGGGTTGTTTTTGAAGAGGTTGTAAGTGGAGTAGAAGGGGCTGCGTTTGAGGGCGGAGGCGTGGTTATGGCGCGAGTGTTGGATTTCGAGAATCAATGAGCGTTGGGTATTTGAGGGTGGATTGGTAGTTGACGTGAAGGGAATAGAGGTTGAGGGGTAAGATTTAGAGGTGGAGGTGGAGGTGGACGTGCATGTCGGTAGGGGAATGGTTATGGGCGAAGCTGCTATCGCGCGGTCTGCTGCATCGGCTGTCTCGAAGATCGCGACGATAGGCCGGTTTGGGTTTGGTGAGGTGTTGGTTGTGTCATACTAAAGGGAATCGTTAGGTCGGGGCTTGTCTAAGAGGTAGTTGGGAGAAGACGCCGTACCTTCAGGTTGCGGTAGGTTATTACTTCTCCGAATTTCTGGAGTGCAGCCAGTACCAGTTTGCTTTCAGATAGGTTCTTTGGCATTGGAAGTCCGGTAATGTGGACCTGCCCAGCCATGCGCGCTAGACTAGGGGACACCATTGTGAGGTTTGTGATTGGGAAGTTGAAGTTGATCGGAGGTTGGAGAAAAATGGCGGATCTTCGAGATCGGCACTTCTTGGCGGAATTGCCTATCTACATATGTACATATGCACCTATATGCATATCATATCTCCGAAAAATCCCAAACCGAATAATGCCTGCGACGATGCTCTTGCTTGAGTATGATCTTGGTTTCTCTCTTCGTGATCTGGTGTTTGGGTATAGGATGCACGTGATTTGCTGACAGATAAGGTGGCTCTCCAGGGCTTCCAAGGTTCTTACGGAGTAGGAACTTATATTTCATACTGTATGCTATTTAATGCATCCAGTACGAAGTCGTGGGGTTTGGATCCTCATGTGGCGTTGTAGCAGCCCTGTTTCATAGTCACTAGCCGAGGCAATGGAAAAAGTTCCACGGCAGCTGTCTGGTCATATTTACACGGTCCACAGCGTGTGCCATTGGAGACGTCCTCTAGAACAAGGCCAATGGCATGCCTGTCAGAACTGGAGGGGGCCGTCGATCCACTCTAATTTAGCAGGCTAAACGGGACACAAATAAATGGAAATTCAGTTTCCTCTGCTCTTAGTGAGATATCGGCGTGCGATTGTCAGGGGGGCTGGCACCCCACCCTCTCAAACCAACTTTGCCGGAGATAAAATAGTTCTGATGCACCCTCTGCTCGACGCTTAACTATATCTGCACCATCTTAAGATCGACTTTGCAGATCAATATGACTACAGCCGATGTTCGCCCAACCATCCTTGTCATCCACGGGGCATGGCATCACCCGGACTTCTATGCAACCTTCTGCAAGGCATTTGAAGACTTGGGCTATGAGACAATTTGTCCTCGTCTTCCGACCTGCAACGATGATATACCTCCGACAAAGAAATTGGCAGATGACGTGTCACTCATCCGACAGACCGCACAATCGCTCCTCGACAGCGGAAAGGCCATCATTGCGGTGATGCACTCCTACGGAGGAGTCGTCGGCACAGATGCCTTGCACGGACTGGCAATCAAGCAACTGATCTACATGACAGCCTTTGTGCCTTCGACTGGGAACAGCCTAGCTGGCATGTTTGGGGGGCACCTCCCTCCTTTTATCACAGTTGATGTATGGAATCCTTATTATTTGAGCTGGGATATACTTACTGACTTCATGCGTCTAGGAGGAGAGAGATCTACTAACTGTTCCTGATCCGGTGACTTGGTTTTTCAATGACCTTCCTCCTGCGCATGCCGCTGCCTGGGCAAACAAGCTCGTAGTTCATCCGAAATCTGCTCAATTCGACCCGGTCACGCATGAGGCATACCGGACCATTCCCACTGCATATATTTTGTGCGACAAAGATGAGGGTCTTATCCCAAAGGTACAAGAAATGATGATCGATAACGTGCGGAAGGCAGGAGTCAATGTCCACGTGGAGAGACTCCCAGCAAGTCACAGTCCTTTCTTGAGCATGCCTGAACAGACTGCCAAGTTGGTGCTAAAGATCGCTAAAAAGGGACTTTGAGGAACTTTATCCGGATGGAGCTGTGGGAGTTCGGTCCTTCCTCGGGGTTTCCGAATAGGGAGTAGACCCGCCTTATAGTGAGACATCTCGTGACTGTGGATAGCTTTAACTTCCAATTTGGGTTATCACAGACCAATCACCCAATGAATCTTGAAATTTTCAACTCGAAGGAATCGGATCGGTCAACTCTAATGGCGGAGGTAGCCAATAATAGCCAAGCATACATATAACTCTCCACTCCGTGCATCCATTAGGGCAAAGTATCACTCCGTGTGGCATTAATGATCATGGTGAGACAAATATATCCAGGTCTCTCAAAAACATAAATCATTCTTTATGTGAACCCTTCAGAGCTTTATTGCAGATCTTGCAGATTTTCACATGGAATTTTATCCACCTGCGACTCCTAATGTATTAAAGACTAGATATAGGCCTCAGCCGTATCTCAGAGAGTAACATATGTATGTTGTCGTCACCTCCGAGGATTCGGAGTTTTGCCGCCATCCACTGCCTCATACGACTTAGGGCTTCTTGCATCTACAGCACAGCGCACTCATTTGTCTTCCGCAGAAGCCATTTCAACGCGTTATGGGTGCCAATGCCCGAGGGCACACATACATTGCTGTAGGCACTGCGCTTGTCGTATTGTCTACGGTTATTGTGGGCATTCGCGTTGCTGCACGAGGGATCAAGTCGACCCTGGGATGGGATGACTATGCGATATGTCTGTCGATAGTCCTGGCATATACCATGCTCGGGGAAGCAATCTACTGTACAGGCCCTAGATCACAGAGGAGTCACTCAGGACTAATCATGTATAGGGGCCCGAGATGGAGGACTAGGAAAACACATGAGCGAGCTAAGCATTGAAGAGAAAATTACCTTCCAGAAGGCGAGTATCAGGACCAACCCAAATGCCCGATAAACCCTAACACCAACCGCAGTGTTTCTTCGCAAACGAAATTTCATACACCCTCCTTGTCCCATCCATAAAAGTCTCGATCCTCTTACTCTACCGCCGGATATTCAGCGTCCCCAAATTCCGACTCGCCAGTCTATTGACCGGCGGCCTAGTCCTATCATGGTGTCTTGCCGTCTTCATCACCGTTCTCCTTCAATGTCGTCCGATTCCCCTGAACTGGAACAAGGAGCAGTCCGGCACTTGCATCAACCCAAAGCCATTCTTCTTCGGCAACGCGATATCCAACCTCCTCATTGATGTGATCATTCTGGCTTTGCCGATTCCCATAGTTCTACAACTTCAACTACGCCTATCGCAGAAGCTGACCGTTCTGGGTATCTTCCTTCTCGGTGGATTGTGCGTCTATCTATCTCCTACCCCTACGGAATACAAGCTTATAGAGGACAGTGTCTGTGTCGCGAGTATCATGCGCGTGGTTACGCTCAATATTTTTGAGAACGATGATACGTCCTGTGCGTTTTGTCGAATTCCCCTTGGAAATACGTAACTGACGTCTGGTTCATTTTAGATTCTATCATGGAGGCCGCCACCTGGACCTTCGTCGAGCCTTGCGTCGGTATTATTTGCGCCTGTTTGCCAACTATGCGTCCGTTGTTGCGAGCCCTGTGCTGTTCGTTCTCGTGGAGTACGGAGGATTCTAAGGACGCGCCCGTTGGGAAGAACTATCGGATGCAAAGGATATCTACATCTGCACAGAATGCTAACGATGAAGTATGGGGCCATGACCGGTTCGATGATGAATATGCGTTGACGGCAGGAGGCTCCAAATCGAGGGTCCATGTGCATGACGCTTTATAGATTTGATAGTGATATTGTATAGTTATAGTTTCTGTCACAAGGAACTACCGAAGTTCCACGGTGGGAACATCCTGATATAGGTATTTGCATCCGAAGCTTTGTACAGACCTTCCCGCATCCCGGTCGTTTCAGCATATTGAGATACTATCTGCGGCGGTCGGGGTTTTCTGGAATAGACGGCTTGCTGTAGAACTCAGATAAGAAGTCGCTACGTATGTGAATAGACTAATTGAGGGTAGGATCGTAGTGATGTTGTGGTGCGTGTTCTCTTACGTTGTCGGATAGTCGGCAGTTCGTCAATGAAGATGGTTGACCATACGACTATGGGCCTGAAAGTCTTCAACCGAATGCTCGGCGCATCAAAAACGGAATGGATAAATTTGCAGCATCGAGCAAAATGCAAGGCGTCCTCTATGTTATCAAGAGACTCAAGCAAAGCTTTGTTCACAGTTGTGTCTCTTGGTCAACGATAATCTTGAAAGTCCCTGGGCTATTCGTCTCCCACCGCCCACCGGTCCTATCGTAGAGTATATGTCGAAGCGCTTAGGCCGTCAGATACTAATATAGATACGAGGACTTCGGTAATACAGTGACTTAGGCTAGGCTTCGAGTATGGGAAGCCCGCCTTCGTATTTAAGGGAAGGCGTGACAGTGCGCCACATTGGTAGCATCAAAATCATATCCCTAGAGTCTAGCCTTATCCCACCACCCGGGAATCCCCCATCTTCCCGTCCGCCGATAAAATGTCTGAATCTCGAACTACCCGACCAAGCGTAGAGGCACTTCGAGCTAGACGTCGGTCTCGAATACGGTACAGGCGCATGCTCAACTGTACTGATATGCCGCAGAAATCAAGTCTAGAGAAACAACATTGGAACACTACCACGAGGAAATCTATGCTACCCTAAGGGCAGCCACTATAATAATATCAAAAAAAAAAAACCCTCGGGAATAAATACATAATTTCAGTCTTGAATCGCAATATAAACACGTGACGGCCTCCACATTGCTTCTAAAGGACATGGGGAAGCAGTAGAGGCGACGATACATTCATTGACATCAACCGGCGAATTTCACATAGCGTTTAATCGCTCTTGCCGTTCTTGTATGTACCGTAGTGGTGGGCCTTTTTGCACCAGCCATAGTGGTTACCGTTGTCGCCCTCGGACTCAACGTCGCAGATGGGGGTCGAGCTGGCGGTCGAGCTGGCGGAGGCGGACGAAGGCTTGGAGGTAGATGACGAAGCGTGGCTAGTCAAGGGAGTGGAGCTGACCAAGAGAGTGGAGCTGACCGGGGTAGTCGAGTGGGTAGAGAGTGAGGTAGAGAGAGAGTGATGGTTCTCACCCTCCTGGACAGGGAAGGCGAGGACAGATCCGACAATGGCCAGAGTGGCGAGGAAGTACTTCATCTTGACCGTGGGTGTTTGACTTGCAACGGTATACCAATTGAGGATTAAGCAAACGAGTTTGGTGGCTGATCAGGGCATCTAGAGGAATAGATGGATACTTATAGCTAGCAATGCTTAAGGAATTCGGAGCAGACGCATCCGCTTGGTTGCGATGAAACGTTGTCACAGCGCATTGCGATCGACCAAATTCGACACAATGCGGGTCTCGTTGGCGCTATGAGTGGCAGAAACGTGGATTGTGGGGCAGGATCGGGCTATTGTTGACGCAAGGCGATCCACATATTAACCTTAAATCCCATATGGGTGTTGATCCCTTGCAAGTTCCTGTGACGAATGCTTCCAATCTGGACTCCGTCCACGGCATAATGGGCCCGTCCAAAGGTGTGATTGGCTGCGAATGCCGCTATACCGGACTACAAAAAGGGACAGAGACACAATGCACCCCTGTCTATCCTGAAGCCAATATCCCCTGTCTCTGAGCCATTGCAAAGGGCGGCACGGAAGTTTAACTACTCGGCAGTATGATCCTTGCATCACTGAGGACCTTCGGTTATACACGTCGTGCAAGGGGTCGCACCAGAGCACTACACTGGGTCAGCTCTGTTGTCGAATGGAGAAAGGATATTTCTGAACTTAGACCTTTTTTTTCTGACACTCGGTATAGGCCAGAGAAGCTCTGCGTCCCTGTTTTGTCGAGGAGTCCGTCTTCAGATCCTGCCAACTTCATTACCCCTAGGCAGGAACTTACGGAGGAAATTATTCTTCGGCATTGCGGGATTAGATGAGTGATAGGCGCTTTGCGGGAAAAGGTTTAGATCTGATAGTAGGCTCTCAATGAGACATTTGGGAGAATTAGTGCGGTTTAAGGGTTTAGGGGAACTAGTCAGGCTCTTTTTGTTGTCCTTTCAAATCATTGCTCGTAGTTCTCTTTGTTTGCTATGCAGCAAACGAAGAACCTACAAAGTATTCAACGATAACAGCTAGGTACATCATTTCGCCAATTGGCCTTATCCTCGTTGCAATAGTTGCGAGCCAGCCATCCACCCATCTAGGCAGCCTGAGCCGCAAATTTGAATGCATTCCGAACGACCTTTCTCATTTCACTAGTCATAAAAAGCGAGACTGTTTGTTCTTTCCGAGCCCACATGCAGGCCGTATGCTCGTCGGGGTTCAGCTTGACTTCATCCCCAAGTCGAACCGTCACCACATAATTGAGTTGGAAGTTGGATTTCGTTCTAGACTCCCATGCTATCGGTTCGATTTCGCCGACGAACTCCGCCACGACCTGGGAGGTCTCCTCGCGGACCTCACGCTTAACGGCGTCAGCGATAGTTTTGTCTGTAAGTTCGACGTGCCCGCCAGGAAGCTCCCAGGCATTAGCGAAAGCTTTCTCGTGGGGGGCTCGCTTTAGTAGCAGGAGGGATGGGTCCTGCGAATTGGTATTCTGGAAGATCGCGGCGCCAATCACCCAACATTTAGTGGGGTCGAGTTCCTGCGGACTCAAGTGGAGGCGTTGCTCATAGGGGAAGTTGGGGAACGCGTTTACGGCCATGGCGTCGTTTTGGATCAGAGATAAATGATAAGGTATAATAGCTTGGAAGAGTGGTTTTTCCTGGGATACTTTCACTACTCTTAAATTCTGCATAAATGGCGGTGAGCTGTGCCACCTAATCGTCAACTATATCTGTCCCATGAAAGCTATGACGGGACGGAGGGGACGAGACAGCAATTGTGCGCGCCACCGATGAAATGTACAATTTCCGCATCTTTCGGCTGAGCTCACGTGGGGCACATCTGCTTAGACTGCCTGGTGGCAAACTGGTCTATAAAAGTCTACGACGATAAACCACCAGGCTCGAAGAATACGATTCACCGACACTTCTGTTCAAACTACAGTTTGCCCGTCTATACGGTTTTGAGGGACACCGGAACACGAGAGTGGGCTTACTGTCACGTCTGGTACTATGGATCTTGGGAATGACTCGTGGAAGCCTTCGATGGGAGTGTTTTGCATGAGGCGGCGGGGTTTTATTTCCCCGTTTGAAGGGACGGATAAGCATGAAAAAAAGCCCTCAAGGGGGATACTAGGTGTTGTAGAGCTTGTTGCTCATAATGCTATGCATATAGTCGGATATAGGATCATCTGCGAACTAGTCCAGTATCCAACGGTATGGATAATTAAAAATATGGCTGTGCGCTAAGTGCTGATCATTGAATTCGATTAAAGCGTGAGAAGAAAAGCGGAATATTGAAGCATGAGAAAAGCACAAGGAATGGAAAACGTATGACAAAAATTCAATCCTGATCTTTAGGTGCCATCTCTGAGACAGTTACATATAGATCCGATTGAACCTCTATCTCTAATAACCCCATTTCACCCAGCCCCCAAGACCATGAAGACAAAACACCTTTGAAGAGCCGAAGAAGATACTAGCCGCGACCTATTCCACCAATCTGTGATATCCTAAAGAGCCAAGACGAAATCCTGCCATTTTAGGCTTCGTTGTAAGCTCACTCAGCCCACTTCTATACAGCCCTGGCTAAACCATATTAGGCCTCACCACCCACTCCGCTACCTCGCTTGCAGTGCCTATTCTGTATATACAGTGCGCCCGTAAACGATAGACACGATGACAAGTCTATATAAGCTCTTCATCGAGGTCAATATTGTTCAATTTATCATCGCTCACAAGCTTCTACTCTATTGACACTTCCATCGTTTCCACATCGCCGGTACGATTCATACAACTTCAAAAGACTTCACAATGCTCCCAAAACTCGCATCCATCCTTCTCGTCGCGTCTACCACAGTCCACGCAGCCCCGGCCAAACCCAAAGGCGGCGACGACTGGGTCTTCCCCGGCGTAACCATTATCCCAGCTGGACAAGTCGGCCCCGGTGTCCCAGGAGCCATAGTAGGCGGCTGTATATCCGACACCCGCAAACTACCTAATTCTTAATCTCAGAGGATGAGCGCGAACTAACATGTCTGGATCTAGGCAAGGACCTTCCGACAAACTGCCACGAGATTTGCCATGTTCTCCCCCAGGATTCTATAAATCAGTGTTACGACGACTCTACAGGGACTGGATGCTTTACTGTTCGGATAATACGGGGGGCGGACCGGGACCGAGTGCTGGTGCTGGGGATCCGCACACTGGGACTGGGAGGGCGAAGGCTGATAATTAGGTTGTGGTTTGCAGTTGAGTTTGGTTGGACTGTGACCCATATGTTATTTTGTGCGTTTGGGCCTAAGGGATTATGGTGAGAGAGTGCCTACTTCCTATGGGGTGGAGAGTTTCCAAGACCTAAATCTATGGGCACGTATGCCATTAAGAAGGGCAGATGCATTCATTCATTTCTATCCTAAGAATTCCAATACTCAGCTATTGTGAATCAGTGATCTATCAATAGTGAACTGAGTGGCAAATGTACTTAAAGCTAACATTGATTCGATATTGCGGGTTCTTTAGTCTAACAATCTCTGGGCATCTTATCCAAACGAATATTTTTGGATTTATTCAAGGCATAAAAATCGTCATAATATCACGGAGAATCCTCTCCGGACACGGGGTCTCTTCCATATCCGAATCCTTTTTGAGTCTAGACACGCTTAGACGCTTAGAAGATGGGGATTCCAAGACCGTACTAAAGGGAAAGAGAAAAAAAGCACAGTCAGTATCAATATAGTCAATACTCCGCAGAAACCGAACTTACAGCAATGGGGTCATTGAAACGAAGACCCTTGTCCAGGGCACTGATAGCCTCAAGCTCACTGGCCTCAAGGTCGAAGTCAGTGACGGTCAAGTTCTGAGCAAGACGAGTAGGGTTGTTGCTCTTAGGAATAACAGCGACGTTGCGCTGAGTAGACCAGCGCAGGAGGACCTGAGCAGGGGTACGGCCGTGCTTCTCAGCAATGGAGGTAATAGTAGCGTGCTCGAAGAGCAACGGGGTATCCTTAGCATGCTTAAGGTCAAGCTCCAGGAAGCTCAGAGGACCGAAAGAAGAGTAAGCAGTAACAGCAATGCCCTCCTTCTGGGCGTAGTCAACGAGACGGGTCTGGGTGAGGTAGGGGTGGTGCTCGATCTGGAGGGTGGCGGGGCGGACGCGGGCGTAGCGGAGCAGGTCCATCAGCAGCTGGGCGCTGAAGTTGCTGACGCCGATGCTGCGAGCCAGCTTCTTGTCAACGAGCGTCTCCATTGCGCCCCAGGTCTCGTGGATGGGTGCGTTGGCGAGCTCGATCTTGCCTTCGGCGGTGGTCCAGCTGGGAGGGTAGCGCACTGAGGGGTCAAGGTACTTCAGGGCAATGGGGAAGTGCACGATGTACAGATCGAAGTAGTCGACGCCCCAGTCGGCGAGCTGCTTGCGGGCGATGGGCTCGACCTTGTCGGCTTCGTGGAAGCTGTTCCAGAGCTTGGAGACAATGAAGAGCTCCTCGCGCTTGACGATACCCTCCTTAATGGCGCGGGCCACACCCTGGCCGGCTTCGACTTCGTTGCCGTAGTCTGGGATTAATGGTGTTAGTGCCAATTAGAGCTTGATTTGGGAGGGTGAATGTACCGCAGGCACCATCGAAGAGACGGTAGCCAGCCTTGATGGCGTGGTAGACCTGGTCGGCACAAGTGTCGTTGTTGACCTTCCAAAGGCCGAAACCCACAAGGGGCATCTCATAGCCGCTGCTAAGCTTGACAGTAGGGGCAACCATTGTGAAGAAATCTAAGAGAATATAATAAAATCAGGAATTGGGGCGTAGAGGGGTATATATGTGACCCCGCCTAGTATGATTTAAAATATCACAAAAATTCCATCCAGCCTAAATCGGCCAAATATACCTCAATTGGTTCCCTTCGGCCTCTTTCGCTAGAGATCCCCAGAATTGCCCCACTGCTTTGCGGCTAAAGTGGTTGATGTGGGAGATTTTAGCCGGAAAATATTATTGCGAAGATAATAGCCAAAGACATATATGTAGAAGCGAGTGATTGGTGTATTCCCATTATTCCAAGTATCCAAGTACATATATTCCAAAATACTTTTCTCCAAACGCCTAAGACATTCCCTGATATCCCCAAGTGTCACAAAAAAGGAAAACAGAAATAGAAAGGAAAAAATAAAAAATAAAAGAAAAGAAAGAAAATCAAAGAAAGTCACAGAAAAGTACAAAAGACCGCTCCCAGAATGATTATCATTACTTTAGTTTTGGTTAAATAATTCATTATACCGCATCCACCGTGGCGTTATCATAGCCCGTGCTCGCATCGGGGCCCGCCCCATGCATGCTGGGACCATTGGACATGCGCCCGACGATCTTATCCATTAGGTCCTCCGACGGCAAGAGGCCGTCGAAATGGTGTGGTTGCTGCGACTCGCGCGACACAGGTACATGGTGCTCCGGCTGGTAAGGGAGGTGGTAGCTGCCGGCGCCGACATCTCCGGGAATGGACGTTGAGTGCGCGCCCCATGAGGCCTGGCCGTGACTGAGATCATCAAGCGGCTGCGGGTTAGAGCCGAAGAAGCCGTGTAGCACGCTGGAGCTGTCGTGCATGTTCACGCTGTGCTGTTGAGATGGCACGTACTGGGATGCTTCGTGGCCCATTGTGTAGCCCATTCCTGGGTGTGAGAGCGGAAGGTCGTGCACGTTCAGCATGACTGGTGCACCGCTGGAGCCGTGGAGGCTTGTGGATGGGATACTCTCGGGTGCGAGACTGGTGGAGAAAGAGTCCAGCACGGAGGTGACGGCGGTTTTGTCATTGAGTCCGTCTTCGGCTTTGCTGATGGATGTCATGAAGTCCAGGTGGCCGGAGGGATTAAAGAGATTAGCCACACTGTCGTGGGGTGATTGGTACATGGGCCATTGCGAGTGGGATTGGCTCGGGTGGTGGATGAGATCATGGGGCTGAGGGGCCTGGTAGACACCCTGATGGGATGGTTTGTTGAGGAGGATGGAATCCAAAGAGAGGGGAGGACGATCAACCCCGGAAGCTGGGCGCGGGCTGTTGGTTGTAGTCCGGTCCGGTGCCGGAATTAGTCGTCTCCAAGTAGTTGTGCCAACTTCGCCAGGTCGGGTTTGTCGGAACTTCCAGGCCAGAACCGCCATGCGCTTGCTCTCGTCGCCGTGATGGCCTTGGTATTGATTTGAAAGCCGGCGAGAGCTGGGTGGAGTGGCACGGAGCTCTTGCACTGCAGACAAGGAGCGGAAGAAGTGACGAGTATGGTCGTCAGCATCCCTAGCAGCTTGGGGGTTCCCCGAGTCCTCCGCGATGCGCTTCTCTTGGGTCAACTGAGTGAAAAGCTTAGCCCACCAGGATGATTCGAATAGAGGCTTGACCTTGGTCGTCTGAGTTTTGGGTAGGTCATGGTAAGTCTCTAGGAGCTTCTGGCTATCTTCATAGATATGCGTGCTGCAGGTCCAATTGTCCATCTGGCTGACTCCCAGAACGTCGCCAGCACTAGGGTGACCGTAGTCAAGGTCAAGTTGAATTCCCAGCCGCGATCCAGCAGGAGGGAAGTCGGTCATCAGTTCCAGGTTCACTTCTAACAAGATGATATCGCAGTCCAGGGGACTGTTGATGTCATCCACCATAGAAGCCAGTTGAGGGAAAGAAGACCGCCACCCGTTCACATGCTCAAGAGGCATGGGAGGTGCAACGGGATGGTGCAGATCACCCTGCAGACGAGTGTATGCATGCAATGCCTTGTCAATACGATTGGCCTGCTGCGGAGCGCTGACCCACATGTCGAAGCTAAAGCCATGAATGGTGCTAGCGGCAGCCTCCTGCATATTGGAGCCAAGGGTATAGTGTGGGAGTGGGAGTTCTCCAGCGTATGGCTGCATGGATCTCATGTGGTCATGGTATGAGGGGTGTGTGTGGCTGCCGTAGTGGCTGGACGCCGAAGGGTGCTCCACTGCCGTTCTCCATTTGGGAGCAGGTGCTGAGCCATGCACACTTGATGATCGTTCTGGTGATGCCTCACGGACAAGTCGCTCCCCTGACATACTGTATTAGTAAAAAGGAGATGTAGACCTTCACATTTGACAACTCACAATCAGGATCACCCTTCAGGAAAGAGTCGAGGACCTGCAGATGGCTTGACACCTGCTTACGAGTCCTCCGCTTGCCGGTCAATTTGAAGATATACTCGGCAATCAACTCGTTGCGGCCATACGACTTGCCCCGTTCGGACCACTTTCTCCGACCCATGGGAGGGTTTGCTTCGAGGGCTAGAATCGGTTGTTAGTTTCTGCTCAATGCATCACTATGGTGGTATAAACTTACCCTGCTGGAAGGCATCCTCCAACTCATCAGACCACACCGGCTCTCCATCTTTCCCAGTATCGCGACGAGGGCGAGCACGGTATTCCAAGTACTTCTGGGACTTGAGGTAGCTGCTTCGTGCCCGGCGAGATTGAGAATTGGGGCCAACCGAGTGAAGTCTGCGAAGCTTCCGTTGATGAAGCCGAGCTGCTACATGCTGTTGATGCAAGCCCGACGCCGACAAGGGTTGAGGAGGATGAGGGGCATGAGGATACTTGAAGCCAAGTTGATGAAGCTGATCCTCACGAGCAGTAATATCAGCATGAGCCAGCTGGTCTGAATAAGACTGGACATTCCCAGTGGTATTCTGCAGAGCTCGATCAGAATGAGCTCCAACGGGATCCAGTGACGTCTGGTTCTGAGTGACAAGGCACTCGGGTTGCCAGTCAGTAGCCATGGGGAGGGGAACCAAGGACGGGCTTCTCCAAAAGAATGACAGATTCCGATGTGGAGGGGACTGAGAGGCACCGTCAAATGCTTACTGCCTGGCAAAGAACGCAGCTCAGGCACAAGCAACGAACCAAGAACGCAAGATGTCAAGAGAATGTAAGAACCTGGGAAAGAGAATGTGAGAGCGAGCAAGATGGGTTTATAGGGAACCATAACTCCCCTTTGGAGAGGGGTTCTGTAGCCCCAGTAGCAACATTGCTCCGCCAGGTCTTCTTTGCCTGGCCTAGGTCCCTCGAACGCCTTGTCCATACTCCTGGGCAAGTCGCGGTCCTGGCCCGCGCACATCCAGGCACTTTGTGGGGAGCAGAGGACCAAAGGACGACGGTAAGCCGACCTTGCCGCAGCAAATCAGGAGTCAAGACAGGGCTCGATATGAAGGAAGTCGTTTAGGATGCAAGGGATGCTCAGCAGCACGAACCAGCAATGAGTGGATCGGAGATTTTGTGCAGCACGAAGTGACCTTGAACATCCATTTCTCGGACCAGCATCAACAAAATATCACAATAATCAGTGGCAATAATCACGGCGCAGGAATGTCGATGGTCCAACGACATCGTCTTCTCGCACGGGACGTGGAATGCTCGACCACCGCCAGACATCACCACCGGAATGCAGGCTTGGCTGATCTCTGTTGATGACAGTCCTACGTACCATCAAAATGTAAGCTAAACTAGGTAAAAGACCCTGCGATCCAAGGCAATTCAGTAGAAGTTGTGGGGAAGAAAGAAAGGCGTTGCACACAGTAAGGTAAAGTAGGGTTACAGTTACGCCTGGATCAACAGGGCAGGAGAACGCACGAGGACGGGACTGCAGGGTAACTGACAGCCGCAAAGAACGTGTTCAGAAGTAATTCGGGGTATCTTTGTATTCCCATATTGTAGCTATGGTAGTATGCAAGTAATCGTACATGGTACATTAATCCACCTTTTCCCTGCAAGGGATGTTAACGAGCCAATCCATGGCCGTGTCCTTGCTAAAGGGAGAAGGGACGAGGGCTTCACTCTTCCTCCTGCCCTCCTACAGTGAATTTCTTGCGCCCGGCGCCAGAAGTGAGCTGTTGGAGTTTGACCCTGTCCATCTGCTCTCCTACCTTCTTCTCTAGGCGCGCGAGCTCCTCCTCGGGATCGACTGCCTCCTCGTTCACGAACTCCAAAACCAATCGTCTCCCCAGGAGATGCGTGTTTTTCAACGCGTCCATGGCATTTTCCGCTTCGCGAGCGCTTACAAAGTCTGCAAAACCGAAACCACGAGCACTGTGATCGAACTTCTGAGGAACACGCACAGACCGAAGTTGTCCGTATGCCCCGAAAAGCGATCTGATATCCTTCTTCGTGGCTTGGAACGGCAAGTTCTTGATGATGATTTTGGTTCTCCGCGCCGCAACCTTCTTGGCGTTATCTTCGCGTCTCCGCTCCTCGGCGGCGTCCTTGCCCTTGTGGGATGCGCGAACGAGAAGCTCGTGCTGATCCAACTTGTAGCCGTTCATAGCTGCAAGAGCAGCCTGAGCTTGACCCTTGGTCTTGAAATCCGCAAAGGCGAATCCCATGCTGAGGGTCTGTCCTGGTCGCTTGGGATCGGGCTTGGTCTTGATGCGACCGGTGATAAAGCCATCCAAAGGTCGGAACACTTCTAGGAACTTCTCATTGGTGGTTGAGAAGTTGAGGTTCTTTACGAATAGCGTCGTGGTTCCTACGCTGTCATCAGGCTCATCTGCGGCAAATGTGTCTGCAGTTGAGAATCCTTGATCCTTGCCCCGAGTTTCTGGAGCAAGGGTGCGTGGAGCTGCTGAAGCATCGAACAAATTTTTTGGCGCCTTCTCCAGGAATAATATGGAATCACCCATCCTGCGGTACGCCATGCCCTTGAAAGCCTTTTGGGCCTCGTCAGGGTGCGCAAACTCCACGATCGCAATGGTGCCACTCGGTGGCATCAGGAGTCGGATGATCTTGCCATAAGGGTCGAATAGACTCCTGAGCTCTGCCGAAGTGACACCATATGAGAAGTTCTTGACCAAAATAGCCGTATTCCCACGCTCACGCTGCTTGAAAGCGTCAATATTTACCCCATTTGAGGCAAAGTAGGCTTTCGTTTCTTGAATCACATGCGTTTCAGCATGTGCTTGCTTGACGGCGGCATCTGAAGAGGTAGGATCAAGCAGATCAGATTTGGAGACTCCGAGCCTTCCGGCTACTGATGACATCACAGCATCGGCCTGTAACAAAATTAGTTTCAATGTTTTGGTTTATGGGAAGACGCAAACTCACGTTCATATATAGGGAGTTCCAGCTGAATGTGGATCCAGAGGCGTTTTGCTTCCGCTTGATCTCCCTTTGCTTTTTGAGAGGGAGCTTGGACAGTTCGTACTCGTCAATCTTGTATGTCTTCTTCGCAGAAGCAGGCAAGATATGGAGCAGACGGCCCTGGAAATGCTTTCCATCAAGGGTTTGGTAAGCATCAACGGCCGCGTCGGCATCGCAGTATTGCACATAGGCAAAGCCTTTGCTAGTGGTGGAGCGGGTGTCAAAAGCAATATGAATCTATATCCAATTAGTACTCAAGGTCATTGAATATATAATGTGTAAATGTGCAACAGTGGGTTGAGTTGGCTCTTTCAGATAATCAAGAAGCATCTACTAAAATCTCTTGTCCTGGTAACATCATGTGCAATTTGCATCAGATGTCCCTATCGGGAAAGTCATCACACGAGCACTCGTGGCAAGCAGGCTGGAAGCCAGCTAGCCGGTGAGGAAAAAGCGGGGCAAAGTTGAAAAGGCAAAAAGAAAAAAAAAGTACTAACCTCTTCAATCTTTCCGAAGCGTTCAAAGATCGGCTGGAGATCCGATTCTGCTGTGTCGTATGCGAGATTTCTGAGGAACAAACGGGCCGAGTTCCGAATAAGATCAATATTCGGATCTTCCGGCGTTGCCTCGGAAGTGCTGTCAACGTCAGTCGTGTTGGGCGGAATTTTCTCAATGGCCACAGTGCGCGAGTCCTCGTCACGCCGCGGCGACTTATCGCCCGACGAGGAAGGTGGTGAAACAGCTTTGGTCGACGCAATAGTCGCTGCGGCGGCCTTGTGTTGATCAAACTCTTCTTGCTCTTCCTCATCGAGAAGGCCCAACAGACGACTCGTCTTTGACCGTAGCCAATCTTCATCAGAGATTGGTCTAGTCTCTACTTCAACCTCCGCAGAGTTGCCCTCTTCTGGTGTTTCTTGAGCCTCCTCTTCCTCGCCCTTGTCAATTACCATGGGCTCAGGCTGCTCAGGCATTGCTACCGTGGGGACTGTTTCTGTCTTTGGCTTTTTCGGGTGGGAAGGCAAGTCCTGAATCTCCTCTTCTTCCTGCAAAGGTTGGTTAATAGCCGGAACAGTGTCCGCAGAGGGCCTAATCATCTCATCATCATTGGCCCATGTCCGAGTTTTTGATGATGATCCCATGAGAGAAAGGTACTCTTGTAGCTTAGGGTCCTGTGATTTTTTCTCGCCATCCCTCTTGCGCTTCAGGTTGTTATCCACCGGTGCATCATTATCATTCTTGGAGCCACGTCTTCGTGTGGGGTGAGCATCCTCGGCGTCATTTGAATCAATCTGCAATAATACGGGTCAGTCTCAAGACCACCTTAATTGGTCAGCGTGCACAGGCGAAAGGAGAGTGGCTGAAGCAAAAGAGCTGAGAATTGACATACCGGACGAGCGATGTCTACAGCGATCTTTGACATCTTCATGTATGTCTTGTTGAAGTGCTTCACAGCTTGCTGAGCTGCTTCATGGCTTTTGAAGCCGACGAACCCCATCCTACGTTTAGGTAGGACATGAGCATCAGTGACTTGGAAGCGAGTTGCAAAATGTTTCTTAAGCTGGTCATTGGAGCATGTTGGTGGGAGACCACCCACGAACACTCTTGTGCTCTCCATTTTGGGATTTTGTGGTGAGGAGTGTGAACACTCGAAGTTTCTATGAGAAAAACTTTTTTTTCTTCTTTCATAGTGCCGCGGGCGGTCTGGTTGGCGGGCGGTGTGGCTTGTCTACCGGCAATAAAGTTACCCTGGCTGCTTCTCGTTATCGCGAGATTGCGCTACCCAGTCTCTTTTCGATCGCAACACCGAGAACCCCTTTGGATTCCTTTTTGAGACAAGAATTACTAACAATGGCACTTCCCCCCGCTGAGAAGAAGGAGCCTATGGAGGGTAAGTTTCTCCTTCGTGAGTTCTGTGATTCAGTGCTAAATGCTCCGTGCAGCGCAGATTAAGTCTGTGGACATGGTAAGGACATTCATGAGAAAAAGCAACGGTCAATTGATTCTGACACAATTTTTAGACCGAGGATATGCAGCAGGAGGCCGTTGCCCTTGGTATGAAATATCGACAGCGCCCTAGATAAACAAGGCTAACCTACCCCTCAGCCATTGAGGCCATGGAGAAGTTCAGAGTTGAAAAGGTATGCGCACTCCTCAATCACTGAATATAAGTATGATACTAATCATTTGTAGGATATTGCCCAATATATCAAGAAAGAGGTACGCCGATTCTACCCCGCCCCGATCGCATTTCTAACCCCATACATCAGTTCGACTCCCGTAAGGGCGCTACCTGGCACTGCGTGGTTGGTCGTAACTTTGGGAGCTTTGTTACCCATGGTTTGTGGATTCTGGAACACTTATATTAACCAGACACTAATCTTGTGTTCAACAGAGACCAAGCACTTCATCTACTTCTACCTTGGACACTGCGCGATTCTGCTCTTCAAGACCCAGTAAATGCGATTGATATGTCTAGGTTCGACATGCTGAACTGACGGGAGATGATATCCGGAGAAATGCGTTTTCAAGCGACTCTTTTGTCTTCTAATATTTGGTCTGTCCGGCTCTTATCCTTTGGTCAACAGCCAATAGTGAATTAAGCGCATCGCTCAAATCACGTAAAAAAAGAAAGCAGCATTACCCAGTTTAATCCTTCGTAAAAACTTCATGCACTACACTATACTAAGGGTACATATAATCGCCGATAGTCAATGGGTCCCTGCTGGAATCGATAATCACATGTGCTTTTTATACAGGAGCGCTTGGCCAATCACGCACCACTATCTCTCATATCACGTGTTACTTGCCAAGACCGCCAAGCCACAGCGCCACAACCCCAATGCCGCTGCCTTCGTCTTTGATCGACCTTCAATTCCTTAAATAGCTCTGAGCTCTCTGTTGATTCCTTTAATAGCTGTGTACCAACTTTCCCAAATCTCGCAATCACCATGGCTTTCTGTATCACGTTTGGAACGCATGGTAAGTCGTCTTGTTTTGACCCACGATCCAGAAACCAGAGTGGACCCTGTCCCTCTCCGTGCTGTCGACGCTGCGGATATACCCCGTTGTTTGAACTAGACACTGACGATAAATATACAGAGTTCTCTTCTCGGCTCGAGGGCTATGAGAATGTTCGCGCATACTGTTACAACTGTAAGTTCTGACGTCAGTGGTCTATTGACCTTGTTGACGGATTGGGTTATTGATCCTCCGCTTTCAGGCCAACATTGGAACGGTCACTGCATCACCCGATGGTATGTTTCTGTCCCAGAGTACCCGACCAGATTAGTTTGGACTTGGCTAATACTTCTTCAAGGCCGTTTTTCACTGTCTGCTTCATTGTAAGTTCATGCTCGACTGAACATCGTCTTAAGAAACAGTTTAAGATATCTAACTTTTACCTCGCTGCAGCCATTAATTCCCCTTGCTATGCATAAGTACAAGGTAAGCACTCTTTCATTAGTCACGTTTTGAGTCTGTTCGTTAACAGACTATATAGGAGGTGCAATGTCACACATGCCGTTTCACCCAAGACCTTCGGTAGGCTCTACCCAAAAAATAGATCAAGTCTATCAGCTTGTGAGGATATACTAATAAATATTGCATCAGTGACCGGCCTGACATCACGCCTGACACACGACCTCCGCCAGGCATGCAATATGGCATTCAGCCCCCTCCTCATGCCCAGGGAGGCTGGCAGCAACAGCCCCCTCTGCAGCCTCCGCCTCAAGCGCAGGGTGGACTTGGATACAAATGAGTTTCCAAGGATGTCCAAATTCCACTAGCATGAAGGCGCAGTTTGTTGCGGGGATGTGAGGCAGAAGGAGGGTTTATCAGGAGACGCATGTTTTAGCTTAATATCGCGGATTTACCCTTTTGGCGTTGGGTCACTTTGTATTTTGTTTCTCTTTGCTATCAAATCTTGAACTTTTCGTTTGATCAGCCTTGCATGTTTTTGTTCCACTATGAATATACATAGTTGTTATAGAATGCTGGCTTGCTACCCCAGACTGTCTACCATGATCGTAACACATAATTATAACGTGAATGAATTTCAAATCCAGATAAACTAGCAGTAGGGGTATAATTACCGTAAACACTATATTAAACCAAAGCCAAGGCGCAAAGAAAAGGACCAGTAAAGGTAGCACCAGCAAGAAGCTCAAACCTCTCTTTCCGAGGTCTGCTTATCCTTTTCCCCAAGCATCTCCGTCGGTGTCGCAACCCCAGAAGGCGTAGCCACATCATCAGCCCCATCCTTCGTCCCCCGATAAACCTTAGGCTTCTTGCCCACAAGATCAAGCGACATCATCCGCACAACACGAACAATACTCGCCCGCCCTTCGTACAACGGGAACACCACAACACCAAACGTGGTGAAGAACAACCAAATAATTCCAACAACAACCCACCCCGTGAAGAACTTCTTGCTGAACACATACGACGACCCGTACATCGGGATCGGCCAGAGGATCAGGAATGCAAATGCCATAAAGATCGTCAACGTACGCGCGTATAGTGCCGAGCGGTTGAGCTGGCGTGTTTCTTCTTCGCTCTCATCTTGCGTGGGACCCATCTCGCCGGGAACTAGTTCGAGGTCGACGTGAGCGGCGGCGGCGACTTCTGTATCGTCGACTTTTCGAATTGCGCGCATGGATTCGTAGTCGTAATTTTGTGGGCCGAAGATGTAGGTGAAGAATGGGACGAAGACTACTGGGCTGAGAAGAGCTGCAACGTTTCCGGCTAGCATGGGGTAACTGGAACTGTTTGTTAGGTTTGGGTTTGCAGATGGATGTTGGGAGGGTATGCTTACTTGGCTCCGGTGGTGTCGACGGTTAGGATTCCGTATTGCTTCTTTGCGGTCACTAGCCAGGCAATGAGGGAGACTGCCAGACCGAGGGGTGGTGATACCGCTGCTGCGATGCGGTTCTGGCCCTTCCAGAGGAGGGTCATGGCGCCTGGGAAGACGGCGGAAGAGATGATCACGCCCATCAGCAGGTAGAGATATCCCATGCCGATGCCGGCGTAGTAAAGACCCGTCGCGAAGCCCGCCATGATAATTGAGTAGACGATGCAGGACATGTGCGAAATCCAGACGAGTCTCTTGCCCTTAGCGCTGGGGTTGATGTAGGCCGCGTAGATATCGTAGGTGAAGATGGAAGAGACAGCGATCAGCTGTGCCGAGAACGCGGATGTCACAGCCATAAAGATCATCAGTGTTGTAGCGACCGCACCGCTATAGCCGAGCAGCTTGACAGCTGCGAATGGGAGCACTAGTCCGGCAGTCACGTCGCCGGAGCTCAGGCGCTGCGTTCCCTCCAGTGCCAGCGCGGAGAGGCCCATTGTGCTTGCGCATAGCCAGGGAATTGCGAACCAGCAGATGCCGCCAATTACGTATCCTGGGAATGCATGGACGGGGCTGGCGGCGATAGCCTTGTTGTAGTAGCCGTTGTCTAAGAAGACTGTGCCGAAGTTTCCGACTAGGTTGATGATCCAGAAGATGCCACCCTCCTTAGAGCGCATAGTTAGATAGCTGCCTTCTGCATTGCCCTCAACGGGGTGACGCTGGGAGGCTGCAACTAGCGCATCATACACCTTTGATGGAGACCCTAGCTCAGCGTTTGTGGCATAGGCGGAGAAGGCGAACAGGAAGATGACGACCAGAATTACCACAGTGTGCAAGTAATCTGTGATAAAAGTAGCCTTAATACCACCGAAGAGAGTGTATAATACCACGCCAATCGGGAGCAGGAAGCAGGCTGCCGCAGTGGGCACTCCAGTCAAGGATGTCATCACGGCCGCACCACCAGTGAGCAGCATCGCAGTAACTAGGATGTTGGTCATCAAGCAAAAGACTATAAACACGATGTGCACAATTGTTCCGTAGCGAGCGCGGATGACTTCCAAGAAAGTGTGTGCGTTCGGCGCACGACGTTTCAGCTCAATAGCTAGTGTCGCGAATAGGAGAATCTGGACACAGGCGCCTATTGATGCACAACATGTCAGATATAGAGCTTTCCAGGTCATGCTCATGTAGCGTGAACTAACCTGATGCATAGAAAAATGGACCAGAGACGCCGTATTGGTATGCGACTGCAGATGACTGGAGAAGAGTTGCAGCCCATGTCCAACTACTGACGACGGCGGCAGCAACCAGTCCTGATTTGACGGACCGGCCTGCAGTTGAGAACATCTCGGATGTTTGGACTTCGTTCTGGTAGCTGTATGGAAGTATTTTTGTCAGTTTGAATGACTGATATCGATTGAGGCATAGAGACGCACCGTTTCAATGCCCAAGTAATAAAGATCATCAGCAGAGCAAAGGCAAAGCCTAGTCCCAGGATGATTCCATATCCGAAGCTCGGGGACAAAGGCGCTGTGAAAATAACCCCGTCGGACGACATGTCAGTAGACGTGAATAACAGTGACTCGAAAGGGTTTACAGCCAGCAACAGAGGGATGAATGTGAAAGAAGGTGGCAATATGCCTCAAATTAAGAATCAGCGACTAATACTCCAATTGAGATGGAAAGTACGCCTTATATAACTTTCCAATACTGACTCATGGAAATCAAGTTCCCCAGACCCGGAAGATAACAACCTCATATAGCGCCGGACGCACAGCATCAGAAGCATGGTAAGCACCCCAGCTCCGAATTCGCACGACCTGGGGCAGAGCAAGACGATCCTTCCAAGAGAGCTGAGCTTAGATAGGGATGCTCCATTCTGATTGCTAGATAAGGGAAACATGCTCTCGTAATGCCATGGCGCGCAAGGGGTGTGGACCACCTAGGTACGCCACTAGAATTAAAGAACCACCATCCCAATGGAGCACTACAACAGTATGCGGAGATTTCGAAGTGTCAATCTGTGAAGAAGAGGGATGGTTTCGGGGGTATCCGTATTGCTGGTCATTGGTTGCTGTTATCAGTTACCCTCTTAGGGCACTGTGGTTGGGTAGTTGTGATTGGCTGGAGAAGATGGAAGATAAGACTTTACGAGTCGGCAAACTCGCCTGAACGCTAGACTGAAATTTACCAGTGAGACAGAAGGTGCTAATGGGTCTCTCGCTTGTGGGAATATCGGAGTGTCCCGGCTCCAAAGAGGCTCTAGGGCTGATTCAAGATATGCTTGGCGAAGGTTACTCATTCTCATTATCTTATTTTAAGATCCACTATCTCCCCGCGTGCACTTTGTACTCTATTAAACATTCTACTTATATTAATCAGATAGTCTAAGTCCCGATGTTAGGAATAACAAAGGATAAACTAACACGCGTGCGTGAACATTGGATTGAGTTCGTTATCGTATCCATCACACTCCCGATCTCGGGAGGTTTGTAACCGTCTAGTATCAGCAAGCCATACCTAAGCTCGTTAAACGTACGTTTTAACTAATTGTTGAACTGTGTGAATTGAAAATATACATGTCTGTCTCTTTTGGGGGGGTTTCCTTTTCTTGTTTTGCTTTCTCGCATCCTCGAGTGCCTGATATAAATATAGCGGGTCAGGCTACCCATGATGAATACAACATATATCCGATTGGTTATAAGTGTGAGAAAGAGAGCCAGAAAAGACCTATACATACTTATCTACTACATGGTGTAAGTTATATTGAACCCATGATCAGCGGAAAAAAGCCCACTACATACGATGTATATGAAGAGTGGTGAAGATATTCTGGCTCCACTAGATTGTAGCTTAATTTGAGACTGATCCACATGACATGCATTATCCCCTAGAAAATAAGGTTGTTGTTAACTCTGAAGCAAATCTAAATCGTCTGGGAAGCATGGGATTGGCTTTGGTGAGTAACCTGTGGAATAGCTCTATGACTATTCTTCATTCAGCAACTCTTACAGACAATGAATTTTGATATATCCCTTCGCAGGCCTTCCTCTCGACAGCTACATTTGTGGCGACCATGTCACCACTAGAATCTAGAACTTGCTGCTGTATTCTAGACGGATGGAGCCTATATTGAGGGAGGAGAGGATATGATATATCATAGAAAAGTAATGCAGGGGGTGAGTTGTACAGTGGCTACAGTTTCGCGGGTTTCCATGTTCTAGATGCATTGCCTCGGGCATTGAACAGAGAAGAGAGCCTATTCGCCATTCCATGTGCGAGTCACCCAGGTTCCAAGTATCCAGGTTGGGTCGAACCGGCCAGAAGCTTGACAGTTTACAACGTAACCGGAAAAAGCAACCTCAATGCTAGAAATAGATCCAATCAAGTCTTTATATTGTACAGACAAACGTCCAGATAGAACAGACACCATCATGTTTCGGTCCAAGCTGCCACAGCCACAGCACATTCCAGCGCATGATATCGCCAGGAAAGGAGCCAATGGACACAACACAGACAGGACACACGAACCGGCTAGTTCTATCTAGAACGACCTATACAGCAGATAGGTCGTTGAGTAACTCTCTTTTGCGACGCAAATGAAAACACCGCATGCACATCAAAATGAAAACGGAATCGGAAACCGAATCACGCCAGTTGTTTCAGAAGGGTTGATTTGGTTCCAGCGCCACCAACGAGAAATGGCCCAAGGGTCACGGGGTATAGGAGTGGGTAAAAGAGGCGGTAGGAGAGGAAGATTCAAGGTTGGGAGCGCGCAGTCAACGCCCGGGATAGACAGATAATACACGATCTGACGGGATATCAACTGCGCAATTGAAGTTGATCAAGTGCTTAAGCAGAGAACTTGCGGGTGATCTTGGCGATGACTAGAGAGAAGAGTGCAATTAACAACCAATCCAACAACTCCAAACATGCATCTCATCTCTAGTAATGAGTTCTTACCATGCAGACCAACAACCGAGAAAATGAATCCCAGACTCAGGACCAGGACAACAACGGGGTCAACGCGCAGACCGGGGCTCTCGTCGGTGTACAGCTTGAGCATGGTGCCGGACGAGCCACCGGCGCCGGCAGAGCGGGTGGAGCTGGGGCGGGCGTTGCGCAGGGTCTCCTTGTGGTCGGCAGTGGCACGGCGGCGCATGGCAGCACGAGGACCGCCGGGGGTCGAGGGAGAAGAGGGACGGCCGACGGAGTTGCCGGTGGCTGCGGTGGCACCGGACTTTGAGTCAGGGCCGGACTCGGCGCCTGAGGTGAGGGGAGATGCTGGGCGGGGAGAGGCCTGGAGTTGCATTGTGTTAGTTGTGGGATTGAGGGATTGGCTAGATGGTTCGCAATGGCTTGTTGCGTTGTTGGTGGATGGAGGCAAGCTGGCTTGATTGTCGGGTGGGTGTTGATGGCATCGGGCCTGGGGTAGATGGACTTACCATTGTGATTAATTGGATGTGGGGGAGTGTAAAGGGCAAAAAAAGGTATTAAAAAAAGATGGAATGGCAGTTCAAGACGAAAGGAAAGGAGGAGCTTGAGAGAGTCTGAAAGGAGGTTTGCGGAGTTGAGGCCACGATCGCGGTTTCTTGGGTAATACCGTATTCGACCTGTCAACCCCGGCAGTTAGGGACAATCTGGGTGATAATTACCAGTATTTACAGTACAAAACTATCCACCAATCAGAACGACTCGGCGCAGCAATAGCACAACTCATCTACAAGACATTCGTCAGCGAGTGAATAAGTAGCGTCAGTATAAGTATATGAATAAGTTACAATATTTGAAATGCAGACATGGCAGTACGTAGCAATACCTGCTTTTCCACTATCACCATTATGTATCTGTATGATGGTCTGTAATCAATTGTATTAATATAGCAGCTACTAAAATACTATCCACATGTCTAGTCCATTGAATTAATAAGAAAGACTAGTTCGCATTCGTCGGAAAAAGCGTTGATGGCTGTCGTAAGACATGGAGAACACCTCCGGGAATCAAATCATTCAGATAACGCCGTCGGTGCACTCGTGCAGGGGTATGGGTATGGATATGAACATGTAAAGGAAGCCAAGGAAAGTAGAATCACAGGAATTTTTTGACGGCTCAGAGCCAGGAAGAATGGGAGATGGTGGGCAGAGCACATTCGACGGAGATGAGGTATCATACTGAGCCGAAGGCCCAGAAGCAAGAAAGCAAAATGCACAAAGAGATCAGGCTAAATTTCAAGGTGTCCACACAGACACGAAGTTCACAGTTAACAAAAGAGACGACGCTCCAAAATTCAACGCCCCGGAAAATTACTTATAAACACCCTTTTTCGCACCGGGTGATCAGTCGATCATCATCCGTGATGGTACTTGGGTAAGGTTTGAAGAGAGCTCGGTTGTCTTTTCTGCTTCCTTGTTCTTCTTCTTGTTGATGTGGGGCTTCAAACCGCGGTTGAAGTTGTGGACGCACAGGCAGGCGTTGATGATAGTGATCACAATCAAGATGATGGTGATGACAGCGAAGAAGGTCATCGATGGTCGAGCGGGCAGGTATTTGAAGTATGTCAGCGGGGAGTACATTCGGAACAGCTTGAAGCAGAAATATGCCATCGCGGCGAATAACAGGAGCTGGCAAGATCGTTAGCAGCTAAATCAAAACTCCTGGTGCTGTTGACTTACAATGATGATTATCATGCCAACCATGGTTTCTCGTCGCACAAACCAAGCGCCACAGACCAGAATGATAATGGTCACGGGGATGGCAGCCACCGTAAGCGCAAATTCAGCGTCCATGCTGGTCGAGGAGACCAAGACGAGGAACTGGACAGTAAAGCCCAGGAAGAAGAAGAAATCGAATTTCAAGAGAGCGATATAGATCTGATTCACGACCGGTTAGCCGTGTTGCTGATGGGGAGGTCGACGAAACACAAACCTGGTAGGTGAGATAGCGACGCTTCATTTGCAGATCAGCACTGATATGCTTGTAGATTGTCCATGCAAACTCGTCGTAGAGCTTATAGGCGACGAAAGTCATCAATAGTGTTCCCAATGCCACAATGCATGGAATGATGATTAGGAACGGCTCGGACTGAGCCCAGACAACCGGACTGATCATATTCATCAAGGCCAAGGTGGAAACCGCCTCTCGGATTTGTTTCACTTGAACAGCGCCGTAAATCAGGAGGCCAACATTGCAGATACACAGTCCGATGATCTGAATTGTATTCTTCATGCGTAGAGCATCATAGACCAGCACAAGTTCGTAGAGGAAACCGAAACCATAGAGGGCGAGGAAAGTAGGGATGGTTTTCGAAGCGGGACTGTTGTTTGGGAGTTCTTGCATTTGAAAATTTGCGAAGATGTAACTAGCAAAGCGGCGATGTTAATGTTGATTTCCAAGACGTTCGCTTTGGCGGAGTCTCCTACCTTTCAAGGCCGAGTGTTACGACTGTTTGGACGAGTGTGACGACCGCGAAGGACCACGTCCAATGTGTATTTGGGAGATACATCCTGGGGGTATGGGCTGCAGGAGTGACGTTGGAATATCCCTCTCGTGCGCGGAAGCCTCCTGGACCTCGTCGAAAGGCGGGATCGAAAGAACCCCCCAAGAGAGAAGCGCGCGACCCGTGTGAAGGAATCTTGCCGAGAGGCTCCGTGGTGGAGCTCAGGTCGGCGGGATGGTTTGGGAAAGACACGGTGACGGTGTGACCACCTGATGGTGGCTTTCGCTTTATAAAGACCGGTGGAAATAGGCCCGAGACGGGGGGAAAGGGCAGATTGAAACGCCCGGAGGCTCGTGTGCTCCTGGGGCTTGGCAATTTGGTTGGCCCAAGCCGGGATTCGTCAGGAGACGTGATTAGATGCAAGAGAGCTTCAGCAGGGGCATCCGACCGTCAGGCAGACTGCTTGAACCAGTTGAATCGAATTAAAGATAGACGGTGATTCCCTCTTTTATTTCGTAGTTTGTTCGTAGTTTGTTGTATTTTTATCCCGCGGTGTTCCGAATTGTCGGGGGGGGCTCGAGGGAATGTGTTATAGCAGCGACCGTACAGTAAACATTGAACGGAACTCTCGAAAAAAAAGGAAAGGGAGGGAATAAGGAACGAGTGACAGAAAAGAGTTGAAGAAGGAAAAAGGTCCAGAGGATTCGAGACGGGAAAGAAAGTAGGGGCACACATCTGGGGTTCAGACTTGTCCACATACCATGGGGCGGGTCACACATATTACGCAGTGTGCAGGCTCCTACGATGCGGAATACGGATACTCCATAACAGTATTAGAGGCTATTAGAGGCTTACTACAAAGATTCTAGACGCATAGAGTCCCTGGAAAGTAGTTTCTCCAGCGACCCAGCCGAAGCCACCAGACTATTTTCTGCATTTCAACGCCTTTTCCTCCTGAATTGGCAGTGGGGTGGACCCGTCGACATGCGACAGGTACCAAACTTCCTCGAGTCCAGACTCTTTTTTGTTTTTTCTTTCTTTTGCTTTTGTGCGTCTTATATACGAAGAATTCTGCTGGTTCGTCCAATTGTCAAGAGAGACCTCTTCTTGAACTGGTTCAACACCTCCACGCCATTGCCCCGGGGCCGTTTCATTTGTATTACTTAATCGTGTTAGTAGAATCCATGCGACCCTGCAGACCAACTTAACTTGTGACACTGTCAATTAGTCCAAGCCACATTGAGTCCTATCCCCAGAAAGTAATGTGGAGGAAAGGCTGTGAAACATGCTGTAATAACATATAGCTCAGGTGGAATGCGACCTTACCAATGTGGCTGAGACAGACTTGGCGTGGCTGAGGCAGTTTAAAGGTTGTCTGAGCCATGGCCCCTGACCATGTCATCCTTGGTTCATGTCCACTGTACCTCAGTACCTGAGTATTTAGGTAGGTACTGAGATATAATTACATCATTCCCGTTTGATCCTTTTTCCATCTTCAAGGCTCGATTTTGGTGTCTTTATCACCCTTATCTTCCATCCTCGCCAGAACTGCCAAAACCCAGGTGCTTTCGCATGTAAGACCCGGATCGCCGAGGCACCACATCCACCGGGATCGGCCTGAATGTGAAATGACAGTTACCCTACGCCGAGAAGGTCCACTTTCATCCTATTACAGCCAAAGGTTCAATCGTTCTTCTAACTACCGTACTCAGATTCAAACAGAGGATTCGTACGAAGCCAGATAGACCCTTTGCTGATAAACGCCGACACATCGCCAGCCCAATTGAAACATCTATACCAACCCACATAGTCTAAAACATGATCATCTCCAATACATGCTCCAGAATTGCCGACAAATCCATGGACAAGAGGTTTGCGACGCGTGTTTCCCGGCAGAAAAAAGAACTAGTCAGCCTAATCACCTTTAGAAGTGAGGCATTTGATCGGCCGTCCATCGCCGGATCCGATCAACAGAAAGGCCGACGGAGCAGGGTATCTCAAAAACAAGCCCGACAATGAAACTGATGAATGCCAGGCCTTGATGTTCTATTTTTGGGGCCTTACGTGCTAAGGGCTTTATGATCTTGATGGAGCATATCTGTTTGCTAAATTGATCATGTCTGTCTAGGAAGCAGCCCATTTGTAATGTCTCGGGATTGTTAATACGATCGTCACAAGCTTTATCAATACCGAGGAACCAAATTTAGCAAGCCATCCACTATGAAAAAGCTAGCTATGGCCTCAAGACTATCGCCAAGGCCCTTGTCTCGCCAAAAAGACATACTGTTGATAACCAATGTACTAACGATAATCTATTTATGGTATACACATAAGCGAAATGAATACACGTGAGGTCATAGCTTCTCCCTTAGCTGCACTGCTGGGCTACAATTGTAAACCAACACACCGTTGACTGATTACTACGTAGCTATACAAGAATAGTCGGCTGCTTATGTGGCCGTAATTCTTTATAAGTCTTTTTGGTGGTCTTTTTTTGTAGTCTCCTCAGGTAGTCTTTTTAGAAGTCTGGTTGTATAGATATTTCCCCCCAATTCCCCATTTCTTCGGTAGACAGCAGAAAAGGGCCAAAAAAGGCTTAATTTTTGAAATGGACTTTTCTAAGTATAGCCTTTGACTATCGTTATTCATGTAAGTTTTAACGATCAATACAAAATATATAGATCCAAAGTGTCTCGTAGCTCAATCTTGGCTACGGCTGCGACGTGGACTTTGTGTCTGAACTTTGCGTCTGAAAGCTTGTTTGGCACCGTACATGACAAGCTGTGTAGCGGACAGATCTTTGAACGGAGATACTGGTATCCGACATCTAAATTGATTAGCAAAGGCCTAATAATTCTATTTACTGCGTTTATCTTTCCATTTACCCGGTACGTTGTATGAATAGTCTTTATCTCCTCCCTGCCATACGTCGTAGAGATGAACCCACGCGAGATGGGGACAAGGCTGAGTAGCGAGCAGACTGACCGTCCATTAGGAACAACAGTTTTGTTGAGAACCCTGTCGTCTCCTCATATTTCCCTTTTTGGTTTAAACTCTCAAATGTTATCGCAACCTAAGCCTGTTCCCTTTCCCCGCACTCCGATAGCAATGATATCGGCAAATCCTAGCTGAGCATAGACTATCAAATAGTTATCTAGTTAGTTAACTTTACGTCTATTATCTAATGGGAATTGCAGATTATTCAATCAGATCTATGGTATAAATGAGCGTAGTATTGCATGTTAGCCATTCTTCAAGAGCAACCTTCCATAATCCAGAAGCTCTCTAATACGACAACAACATGCTGTCTCTGTGGGCCGGGGCCATCTTCCTTTGCGGATATATTGTCATCCGCGGATTCTTCTCGCCCCTGTCTACGATTCCGGGCCCTTGGTATACTCGATTTACAAGTTGGTGGCTTAAGTATCAGGAGTTCACTGCAAACCGACGAGAATCAATCCACCGCTTGCACAAGGTCTATGGCCCTGTCGTTCGTCTGGGTCCCAACGAAGTATCGTTTACCAGCCTGGATGCGATCAAAGAGATCTATGCTTCCGGGGGTAGCGGGTATGACAAGACTGAGTACTATGATCTTTTCAGGCAGTTCAAGATCAAGTAAGAATTTCCACCAGAGAAATAGCTGGCAGACACTGATACAAAACTTAGGACAATGTTTTCTACTTTATTGAAAGACGAGGTACTTATTCATAATAGAACAAGAATACTCGAGTGCTAATATCCACCAGCATAGCAAAAGAAAACGCATCTTTGCCGACAGGTATGCCATGACGAATATCATGAAAGAAAAGCCCATGGCTGCTATCCACGAACGGGCCATGACATTTGTTTCTAAATGTGTCGAGGCTGGCCAAAAGAGTGTGGACGTTTACGTGAGTTGTCAAAGACGTTAGAGTATCCAAGACTATAAATGCTAATCTTCTTAGTCCTTGCTTCACTGTTATGCCCTGGACTGTGTCACTCACTTTATGTTCAGCCCCGGCGGCCTCAGATCTCTCAGCATAGCCGAAGACTACGAAATCATGCACGAACTGACCTATCACCAAAGTCTCCAAAGTATGCACTGCCGGATTTCCATGTTCTAGCAGATATACTAAAAGAGAAACAGAAAATCTCCTGGAGTACTACCTCCCTTCATTAGCACCCTATTTCCCAAAATTCCTCCACGCCCGCAGCGCCCCAAAAGCAAACCAATACGTGATAGACATGGCCGCCCAAATCAAGCTCGACGGCCACTCCCTAATGGAAAAGCTCAAACGCAAAGAATCAAACCTGGAACTAATGCAAGCTGCCGCAGAATGCAAAGACCACATGGCAGCCGGCATCGACACAACGGGCGATGGTCTGTGTTTCTTAATGTGGGAGCTCTCACAGCCTCAGAACCGCTGCTTCCAGCACCGACTTTACAGAGAGCTTACCGCTGCGCCTGCCAACACACCCTTGGATAGCTATATGTATCTCGACGCTGTCATTAAAGAGGCGCTGCGGTGTGCGCCGCCTATTCCGATGTCGCTGCCTCGCTATGTACCTGCTGGTGGAAGGGAGATCGATGGGTTCTTCGTTCCGGAATATACTATCGTTAGCTGTCAGCCCTATTCGGTGCATCGGATGGATGATAGTGTCTTCCCTGAGCCTGATCGTTTCAATCCTGATCGGTGGCTTGTTGAGGAGGGTGCTGCTGAGCGGAATAGGCTTTTCTTTTCATTTGCTACGGGTGGAAGGGGGTGTACAGGGAAAAAGTGAGTTGTATTCTTTGCTCGCTTGTTTACTGGTGCTGATTGCTGACACTGGTTAGTCTTGCACTTGTTGAGATGAAGATGCTGCTTCGGGAAGTGTATTCTCGTTATCAGACGACGGTGGCTTCGGATATGACCGCTTCGATGAAGCTGGATGATCAGATTATCTCTTCGAGGCCCAAGGGGCAGAGCTGCAAGCTGGCCTTTACAGCTATAGAGTGATATTGGACGACCACTTAGTTTTGGCTGTACCAAAAAGTGCCGTAAATCCGAGAATTAAATGTGATTATCCATCAGATTTTGACAATAAATTCCCAACACAATAACCAATCATGATTACTGGAAATGTACGGTGATGCCAGGAGGATAGGGGAATCTTAAGCCGATGCGGGGTGTGAGGGGAAGATAAGTGACTCTCCTAGACCTTCTCTTGAACATTCCCAATCCAGCTCTTGTCACATACCCTAGGTAGTTCGGCATCGATTATATTTCCTAAGCACAGCGCCAGCTACCACCTAGTCTATTCACACAAACACACCCTCCCATAGGAATCCAAACACCTCCACCCACCGAAATCCCACTCCACCACAATCCAGCAATATGGCGATCAAACCCGACCAATCCACCTGTCGCTTCTCCAAGCGAATCTCTTTCCGATGGCTGACAACGCCCGCCGAGGAAACGACTGATACAATCGTGATGTCCGTGAAGGACTGGTACGTTGATCTGCGGATCGAAACGGTAACAGGCAAAATAGACTGGGCGATTGCCGGGCAGAGGATTGTGGAGAGTCAGGAGCCCTGTATGTTACCTCCAGACTATATCTAAAGGATGCATTGCATTCAGCGAAACGAGTACGAACGACCCTTTAACCAACTCGATAGTGCGGGTGACCTTCTCCCATGAGCTTGACTCTCACAATGCGTTTGAGACCATTGATTGTGGGACCTTTGTCCCGCTGCCAAACGGGGATGCTCTCGAGATGGGGTCGATGCCTCGTCATGATCTCCCCGGTGCACCTGACAAAGAGTATGAGGAGGTATGGCGGGAATTGCCATTCAGAGAGGGGCCCGAGGGGCCTAAGAAAGGTCTTTCGTGGGTGCTGGAGTCGGATGATGGAGATCTCGGCAGTGAGGAAGGCGAAGTGACGGTTACGAAGACTTTTATCGGTCGCATCTGGGGAACGTATTTGGCACTGCGCCAGATGCAGACTCATACGCGACAGAAGACTCCTTCTGGTGATCTGGTTGTTAAAAAGTCCGGTGCTGATGTTAGTGCTAGAAGAGAAGAATGGGAATCAGGGTGGAAGGAGAGGTATCTGGTTGGCGAAGCTGCAGGGGTTTTGCCTTCGATGGTGGTCGGGTTTGATGGAGAGGGAGTGGGATCTTGGAAAGTACCGGGGGAGAAGGTACAAGTTCAAGGAAAGACGTACATCGTTCGAGCTTTCGAGCAAATTGAGTAGGACCAGCGTTCCCTTCGATTATAAGCTTTTGCATATCCAAGCAAGATGATCATTAGAATCTCATCCTCAAGGGCCACACACCAGAGTCAATCTCCCTCGTAGTCCTGGCTATCTCGGCTGCGTTATGGCCATTATTGAGTCCAGGCTGCTTCTTCTAATCTAAGTGACTCTCCAGGGTTCCCCTGAGCTTGTCTGCGGCAATAAATACATCCTATCAGCGTTCAGACAGTGGCGCTGAGCAAAGCGTTCTGGGAGGCCTAAACTAAGAGTGTACGCTAGACTCAGCCAGGAATTGCCTCAAACCAGCTTATGCAATACAAAAGGAGCCTTGGATCTAAGTAAATGTAAAAATAAACAGCACATCCAAGCATAGTAGCAAAGCTAACCCAACTGGCTGCCCTATACCTTCCCAAACTGGACAAGCGCAAAGATGACTCATTCCACGTGACAGCAATATAAAACCCGCAAACCCACCTCGACGCCAAATTTCCCTTCCTCAAGCGCCATCCCCACCAATGCTGCGTTTCTTTGCTACACACGGCGAGCCTCACAGCCCGTCCTCGCAGCTCTGCCCCCAGAGCTGCGAGACCCCTTGCAAATGAGAAATTCGGAGGAATCTTCAAGACCCCAACCCGCGTCGGCGTTCGTTTTCGCGCGTCGGCGCCGGTACTGCCCGTGAGGGCCTTGTGTGATCCTAGATCACTTTCCACACTTGTACTTGACATCAGAAACATCGGGCGGAGGGGCTTGCCCCGATGCCCCTGGGAGAGTCGGTGCGAAGATTGTGTGTGATGACACTTTAGTGCAATACGCAGCATACCTTGCTCTGTCTTCTCTTCGGAGGGGCGGATGGTATCATTCGATTCCGATCATTCTGGTGGGGATGGCGCTTCACTCTTTTTTCTCAGGTTAGTTTTCGTTCCTCGCCCTGATTTTTTTTTGTTGGGGGGGTCTGGGAAGAGTTTTTTTTGGCGACCTTGCTGATTAGTGGGGTTGTGGACCATCCTTGCGAGGTCCCTTAGGGTCCTTTGCCTGCGGGCTCGTCGGGTCTCGGTCGCTGGAGTTGGCGTTGGGTTTGTGGGGGCTTTACTCAGGGTGGACACAATAAAATACTCGTGAAATATATCTTTCCGCTAGCCGAATGGCCGGTGAAATATCCTAAGAATCTTCTTCTACTCGTAGCTCTGTCGGGAACCTTTCAATTCTATGTGAAGGATGCATGTTTGGAAGAATTTGCGAGGTCGAAACCTCGACCGCTGAATGTGTAAATTATCGTGAACATCTTGTTAAAAAAAAACCCCTGTTGTCAGGGATGTAGTGAAAGAACATTTTCCTCAAAGTTCCCTCCATTATCATCGAGCTTCATTTTTAGCATTGCCCATATCCCCTCGAACCACCGATGATCGTTTACTCTTCGTCACCGATCTGTGTTTTAAACCCACGTTAGCTCTGTTTCCCATGATGTCGACCTCGGAACAATAAAGAGCTTACCTTAGGAGCGAGGTAGAACCGCAGGTGGCCACTTCCCAGACCGTACTCGACAAGCAGCGGCACTTCCTGAGAGAGGTGCAGCACGACAGATGAGGACAGGTTGGAGGCCTTGCAGAAGTTGACGAGGTACTTGAGGGAGAAGGTCAGGGCGACGGGTTCGGAGAGGTTGATGACGACGTTCTGGTCGGGCTTATCGACGTTGGTGTGTTGGCGGATGGTAACGGATCCGTTACCGATATCACCCTGGCAGGAGAACTTGACACCCTCCTTGCTGGCCTCAATCACGACTATAAAAGAGATTAGCATGACAGAACTTGTGTCTGCCAGCCGGGCTTAAGTATCGCCTTGGGGGAAAGTCACTTACCTGACTCGGACAGCGCGTTGAGATCTCTGCAGATACGCTGGAACTCAGAAGAAGGCATCTCCACGGTGGCGGCGTACTCAGTCTCAGGGATGGCCAGGTGCTCCTGGTCAATATCCATGAGCTTGATGTCATACTCGCTCAGTCGGTCTGTCTCTGCACTCTCGAACATCAGGTTGACGGCGTCGGGTGAGTCCTCGGCCTTGAGGGTCAGGATGTCTTCATTCTGGGCGGCGCGGAGGACCTTGGTTAGAGAGAGCAGATTGATGCCGAGGGCGATGTTACGGTCGCAGCGGTAGGGAGAGAAACCCTCAGCGCGGAGCAACATGGAAACTAGGGCAACGTGCGAGTTGTCCATGGCCTGGAGGGCGATTCCGGAGTCATTGCAGTCGAAGTTGCAGTCCTGGACAAGATCCTTGATGGCGTCGACGACCTACACACAACAGTGTTAGTAACTTGTCCATTGCTGAATCAGTTGAGTGGCATGTCACATACGCGCTTCAGAAGGCTTGCCTGTTCCAATCGTGCCTCGAGCACTAGAAAGCGAGTCAATTTATCAGTTCTTCGCACACAACAATCTTTTCGATTCGGGGGTTAGCCGACTTACTCTTGATGTTTTTGTGCGTGCAGGTGTGTGTTTAAACTGGGTCGTGAGGAGATAGGAGGAGAAAGGGTATGCTTTTCAAGTCAAGAGGATGGCAGGGAGAGGAGGATAGTGAACTGGGTATGTATTTGAGCGAAGTGGAAGAGGCAGCAAGTCTAATATAAGGATCGCGTTAGGGGTGGGGAAGACGCGGTCGCGTTTGGCGATATGTCCCTTTTGGGTTAAGTTTGATACCTCAGGCGACAAGGCAATAAGGCTTCCTTCACATACATCCCCACAGGGGTCTGCCAACAGAATTATCAACAATTACGAGTGGTATGGATTTTTGGATGATTCATTTGCAGAAGAGCCCGCCGTAATGTACAAATTGGAAAAAAGAAATTGACGTTAATCCCCACAATCAACGGAGATGAATGCCGAAAGAGCCACCATCCAAGACCACTTAAAAGAAAGACGAACAGATAATAATGGCACAAAAGAAATAAGTAATAAGCAAAGTAGCAACGAGCAAGGAAAAATAATTCTCGAGAAAAAAGACACCGCTGTCGCCGAGCCCCGTCTATATGTACATGTCGTGGGTATCAATTTGTGACTTACAGCTGCTAGCGCTGGTAGAAGTCAACCTGTGCCGGATGGCGCAGACGAAAATAGAGCGATTCTGTGGGATGCATCAAGCATGAGACAGAGATCCAAGCCTGGTATTATATGCTGGTAACTCGTTTTGCAGAGTTGTTTCCGGGTCGCTGCTTGATGACCATTTCCAGTTCCTTGAGCATGTTAGTGCTGGCATCTGCCTTTTCTCTGGCAATCGCCTGTCTGGCACGGTCTTCTCGTACACGTGCAAGACGTTCGTCTCTTGTCAAAGACATTCTCTTGTTTCTCGAGGCCGGGAGTACAACAGCTTCGAAAATTTCCTCGTCATCGTAGGTCTGGGTCAGATCCGGCCGGCCCTCGCCAGTCAAGGCTTTCAGTGCATCCGTTGGGCTGCCCTCAACTGCCGTAGATCCTCCCAGGCTGGGGGTAGGGGACATGGGTAACAAGAAAGTACTTGGTGGTCGCGAGCGATCCCCGACACTAAGGCGATCGTGTTGGTTTGCCAATGCGGCTTTGCCAGCTTCCCACTCTTGGAGAAGAGCCCTAAGATCACTGCCAACCGAGTCATATTGTGTAAGGAGGGTGGCTTCGAACTCATCAGGGTCTGCGCGTTCGAGGTTGGCGTGTGACTCCTCGCTGGCAATGTGCATTTTGGCATGCAAGGCACGCACCCCTTGTGACAAAGAGCTGAGCCGTCGAAACTGAGCGCGCAGGTGGTCCTTGCTTGGTGAGGCGGAAGGTAGTGGGGATGGAGGAATGGTATCGCCTGCGAATGTTAGCGAACGTCCTTGTGCCATCAAACAGGGATTAGCACTCACGGTCCTCCTCATTTAGAATTGTTGTCATTTTCAGCATGCTGTTGCCAGTCACCGCAGCGAGCTCACGCATTTCCTCGACAGCAGAACTCCACCGAGCAATATCGGAGCCACCGCCATCGGCGCTGAGGGCTAGCAAGCAGCACAGCACGCTTTTTCTCACACTGTACAGTTTTCCAAATAGATCCCTCAGAGCACGCAATGAGTACTGGTCTTCGTTAGCTCGCTGCGACAGGGACGACTCTACCGCTTCGAGTTCTTCCAGTCCAATGTCGTAAATGTCGTAATATTTCGCCAGATCACCTTCATCGGTAAGTGGGCGTAATGTGTTCTGGGATTGAATATACCGCTCGAGCATGGAGTAAAAGCATTCCGAGACCGCTCGGCGCAATCTCAAGCATCGTCGCGTTTGTACTTGATCCTCCAGCCGACTGATAGGTGGTAGAGGAGTGCTTCTGCCATAGGTCGTTAGTCTCGTCATTATTCTGAACGGAAACGTCGTGTTCTTACATCCGATAACCTCTTGAGACAAGTTCAACCTCCTGAATGAAGACCACAGAAGCTGACGCAGCAGAGTCAAATCCCTGGGCGTTTCCAATGAAAGCGCCAGCTGCCTCAACAGCCTGGTGCCGGAGATATTTTAACCATTGCCGTTTCGCAAAAGCATAGAACAAGACACCGACAGCGGGCACAAGTATCAGGAGCACTCCAACTTTCTTGAGACTGAGTCCTGGCCCAGTCCTTGACCGGCTCCAATGTAATAACCAAGCGATAGAAAAGGATGTAGCGGCTGTCACAATGGCGCCTTGGATTCCAAAAGTTGTAGATAGGGACGGGAGAGCTGAGGGTTGTTTTGCAGATAGGACATCTGCGGCGGATGTGTAGGAAGGAGCGCTGTGTTCGTTCAACAGTTGCGATGCGACAATGACGTAGCCAAATTGTTCCAAAAATCGTTCGTTGTCGCTTCGTGCTAATCTGACATTCAGGGTGGACTAGACGAGAAGAAGTGTTAGTATGATCCGGTGCTATCGTAGCCGAGGGGTCGTACCGAGCAAACGTCATATAGTTTCCCGATCAGTTCCCCCTGCGGTGTGCCTCGTAGATTGAGAGGCTTCGGTAGCTTGTTTCGAACGCGATCTTGGAATTTGGAAACGCCTCGGGGGGCAAAGTTGGAGGAACGGGTATGATCATCGCTTTGATTCTCCTCAATGGGCCAACTCTCTTCGTTTCCACCCTCTCCTGGCACGGATGTCAGTGGGTTGAATTCATCGGGTATTTTGGACATAGCAAACCTTCCAAGTAGTCGGCCAAAGGCGAGTTCTCATACACGATTGATTCCATGTTGCGGGATCACGCCGCCGGGACAGGAGAGCGGAGAAGGTGGGCGAGTGGTGACGCAAAACAGGGTAGAAGATAGGCGCTTACAGATCCATGTCGCGGAAGGACAGATGCCGGGCAGAGAGAAAAGTACCGATCGCTAAAGAATGTAAATGTTAAAGGTTACAAATGCCTGGGGCCACGTTGAGGCACGTCCGGGGAAAGGAGGTCTCCCGGTCACGAGAGTCTAATTTAGACTTGACCCACTTACCTGTTCCTGGCGATGATGATTTACAAGTAAGGGTCCTCTAGTTATTTAATTTAAAGGAGATTAGCTGGTACATAAAACTACGGCGTACATATATATGTACATGTCCAGGCTCCAGCCAATCTGATCAATGGGGATCCACAAGGTTTACGATGTACTCCGTACTGCATCTTGTTGAGCTGGCCATAAGCTGCATGTAAGCGAGCAGCAGTTTTATGCACATAATGCTGAGTCATCTAGCATAATCGGCATGGCCTGGCATACATTTGGGGGATAGATCACCCTTCATGATCCTTCTAGAATGACGATCATGCCTCTGTTTTGTTTCTTTTTCTAAAAACGATTGACTACTTCCTTCGGAATAGCCACAATAACCGAGTTCCGCATCATAACACTATATGCAAAAAGGCAGCTATCTATAATCCATCTGAAATACAACATCCCTAATATCGTCTCGAGCGAAATGAATAGAATACGCAAAGTTCCTATTATGAATGAAGACTGTACAAAGCGCAGTTTAAATAAGAGCGCAAACCATTTTAATGGAAGGGTGACGATGGAGGTGGCCTTAATGTATAAGCTGATTGGACCCTAAATACCGCCATGTATGATGTACATCTGCATGTCATTATAGGCGCCTCACCAGTGAATTCGGGTTATCAAGGACCATATCGTCGATCAAAATTTGCGAACTTTTCTGATATGACCGGGACGAGGTTTCGCAGGATATCAGCTGCCTTGTCAGTCATGCGGAATTGCCCGGAGGTAACAGAACTTGACTCCTAAGGAAGATTAGCAGGTGCCAATCTCCAGCAAGTAAGGGGTCGGAGAGTTTGCCTTTCACTTCCTGCTCAGTTGAAAAGTATGTACGTGCCATGAACTTGATCTCAAGATCCTGCAACCAGATCACCCAGGTTAGGGCCCAGAAAAAAGGGGTGTCAGCGTAACTACCAGGTTAAGAATTGTATGTTCTCACCCTCAGCAGGTTCAAAATTTGCTCTTTACTGTTTTTGGATGTATTATTCCCTTAAAGTTGATATCAAGTCCCTATATTCCATGCCCTTCGGCGTCAGTCTACCTGGAATTAGCTAACGCCCGGGGGCATTCTCTCATTTTTGCTCTGTTGACGCAAGCGAGGTCTGTCGGTCGTTCTCGGTCATGATCGTTATTTTTCAACGTGTTCTTATTTTACCTCAACTTCTCTCTACCTCCTGTCTACATCCTCTCTTTGAATATATAAATTGTCCAACACATAAGAAGAAGATAAATCATGATGGGAGGTAGAAATAGGATTTGGGAAACTTTCCCGTATTCAGTCCCAGCTGAAGATAAGGGCCTGGTATATCAGGCAGCCATGCATGTGCCCTGCATATGCTCACCAAAGTCCAAGGGCCCCCACCTTTCAATTCCAACATTGCTTACTTTCAAATCGCAAAGCCTGCCTGGGCATCTAGAGTCAATCCCCAAGCAACATGTCCACTCCGAAAGTGTGGATGCAGCCAGGGTGGCAGGAATATCTATCTGCTCGAAACGCTGGACTGCCCTATCTCCCAGCTGTCGCGGAACTCAGCACAGAGGTGGTGCGAATACTTGGCGGAAACCCAGGTGACATGCAACTACAAGGGACCAATACGTATCTAGTCGGCAGTGGCCAGAAACGGATCTTGATAGATACGGGACAGGTAAAGTGATTCGGGCCATCCCAATTTAGTACCTAGAGACTAAACAAGAGAATCATGTCAACAGGGATGCCAAATCTGGCTCACCACTCTGGTCAACTATCTTGACCGACACCAGCTGAGCATCTCCCAGGTGCTGCTGACCCACTGGCATACCGATCATACTGGTGGTCTCCCGGCGCTACTCGCTCAGTATCCACATCTGGCCACGGCGGTCTACAAGGCCCATCCGGACCAGGACCAACAGTCGATTCGCAACGGACAGACTTTTACTGCTCAAGGAACTACGCTGCGAGCCTTGTTCACGCCCGGGCATAGTCAGGACCACATGTGCTTTGTCTTGGAGGAAAGTGGCGCCATGTTCACAGGTGATAATGTGCTTGGACATGGAAGCAGTGTTGTTCTGGAAGATCTAGGACGATACATGAAGAGTTTGCATGTCATGACACAAAGTGCGCAAAATGAAGAGATAACAGTTGGATATCCCGGGCATGGTGCCGTGATTGACAACCTGCCCGCCAGACTCATAGTCTGGAGCAGACACTGGGAATTGCGAGAAAAAAAGGTTTTATCGGCTTTTATCGGGAGCAAAACAAAGGCAAGGGCATCCTTGACGACGCGGGAGATCGTCGCATGTCTCTACGGGCTCGAGATGGAGGCGATGGCGGGGCCGTTCGTAGCGCAGGTTCTATCAAAACTAGCCGATGAGGGGAAGGTTGGACTTGCTGTCGCAGGGCAAGAGAAGAAGTGGTTTATGCTGTAGAATAACTTTGTCAATTACTTAATTGGAGTAGATTAGACTAATGCATACGACCAGAATTCTGACAATTTCCGGCTCTAGTACGCGTGACAGCCCTTAAAAGGCTGGATCCGAACCACACCAGCCTGCGTCGAGCTCGAGGGCGATGCTCTCATATCTCTTGTGTTGTCTGAGAATCTCTGAATTGTACTTTTCCACTATGGATATTCAAATTATCCAATTCTTACCATAGTCAAGTATGAAGGCCACATAAGCGGCCGTCTGTTCCTGTAGCCATTATTCCAAAATTGAAACCAGGATACTGTTGGCACATCAAATCCCTTTTGTCACCCATCTTTCAATGCAAGTGCCATTTATTATGGTATCACCATTGTAAAATCACAATCCTTCGAACTATGTCATACGTACTGATTTTGGTGAGAGGAATAATCCGCCATCTACGAAGAAGATAGGGTTGATTACTCTTAATCCTCCTGTGTCATAAAAGAAGAGAACGTCATGAAGACAAAATACCTCACATTGAAATAGTTTTGATTTGTTGACAAAGGGCTTCTATCTCTCCCTATGCCTTGATCCATGAAAGTGTAAGCATGCGAATGAAGCTTAACCCTACCTCGGGGAAGATCACCATTAACCGGACGCTTGAAGGAGTACAGTGCAAGATAAACTCTTTCGCACCAGCTGTTATGTTGAGCGAGAGCTCCGAACATCTTTCCTTCATCCGCGGAACCGTGGGCCTTATACTTACTGTCGGGGATTTGAGCTTGTGTTGGCTTCACCTCGTATATGGGGTACTAGCCAACAGCGCCACGAAGAGACCCAAGCTCGTTGCTGTTGGCAAGCATGCTGAAGTCTTTCAACGACAGACAATGCTCATAAAAAGAATCGACCGTCACCCATTACAGGTGCTCAAGTCAAAATAATAGAGCTGCCACGACGGCATATACCTTTTTTTCGAAGTGCAGCTGATAGCCCTAGTCCTGTTTAAAATTAGCGGGAAGAGGCCAGGTCGTACGTCACCTCAAAAGCGACACAGAGGATAATAAGAGCCAGTTCTTCCAGATGAGATCGATGAGCGATGTTCCACGGGCCGTATGTTTGCATTTCTAGGAATGGCCCATTGGAACCAGAGGGGCACTCTGATTGCCGAGACGGGTATATTGAGGCCCAGGTGCGTGGCTGCAAATGTTACTGAAGCTCCGTCAATAATAAGCAAGGGAAAAACTCTTACTCTGATAAATCCATGATGGATGGGATGATAGGGAGAAGAAGGAAGAGAAAGAATCGAGAGGTCCGTTCATTCTTCAGCCGCTAGGGCCCCAACAGCATCCATATAGAGATGCTTGCTATGTCAACTCGACGTTTTTCTAGGATCAATGCCTGAAACAATTCCCAACATCGGAAGCATTCTTCTGGCCAGTTTGGAAAACCTCCAAGGTCGTCTGGATCTGGTTTCTCACTTGAGTATGTAGCATGCTGCCTACCGCCTCGGTGATATCCGCTGTCTCGCTTAAGGTTGCCCACTCTGTCCTGAGTCTGCTGGAGTTCGAGGCCCGATACCACAGACTCGTAAAAGAGCTCTCGCCCCACAATAAGGATAATATAAGGGTTAGATGAATACACATTCCCTTCATATTTCTCTACTTCCTGATCCAAAATCTGAAGACAATCCTGCATTCCCTTGAACTCGTATTGTGGGATAGGAGGGAGCACGTCTTCGTAGAGCATGGAGAGCATGGACGATTTCTATTTCTTGGCAAGGGAAAGCAGGCTTAGTTGTGTTTCCTATCCTCCATTGTTTTACGGAAATCGTTCTACAGTCGAATATCTCGACAGAAATAACAACATTGACATTCCGGGCAGCTTCAGTTAACCAGAATGTAACATAAGTGTTGCCGAGTCTCCGTATATCTGACTTCGAGGACGACTGTCGGCCAGTGTCTGTTCAGGATTGAGGGGTCGGAGTCCATGCTGAATCAGGCTTTTTGTTCCGACCCGCAGTCCCTCTGTAATTCATTGTGCCATTAGCCTTAATCTCACGGGAGTCTCCTAGCCAAAGATCGAATCTTTCAAACGCTCTGCGTGCCGCTGAATGAGCAGGGGACTCCATCTCTAGAAGTAAGTGCTTAATAGAATGTCCGTAGGCTTTGAACGATGTTGCGAGTAGTTTTTTCTGTTTGTTTGGGGTTCTCAAAACAATCGAAGAAGGTACGCTTCATTGTGATCCAGCAGAACTCGGTTGTTGTCCTCCATTTTTTCGACCTTCTGGTATAACGACTCTCCTTTGTCAATGAGGTCGGCAACTGCTTCCTGTAGATCCTTGATCTCCCTCTCAAGTTCCTTTTTCTCCCTGGAAAGATCAGCCGCATTTCAATCCAGCTCGTTGTGCCGGAACTCCAGTGCGCCATACTGGGACTGCAGTTCGCTGTACTTGTCCTGCAGTTGCCAGCCCTGAGATAGCCGTCCCTCTGCTGCACACACTTGACGTATCGTTCTGTTTCCGCCTGCATCTCGCCGTCAAGCTTTTTGTGTGCTTCCTTCTCAGCCTGTAGCTCAGCGGCAATCTTGGCATAGGCGGTCTCGGTCGATCGGCTGCCATTGCCGGGTCCGATCCAACCGTCATAACGCATATTACTGACGACAGAATGGCCGCAGGTGATTTGGTCAGAACCGGTTACGGAGCTATGATTAGCCGAGCTAGATCGTGGATAGCAAAGTTGCCGTGAACCTCGTAGTGAGTATCTCGATTTGAATTAGAAGAAAGCTAGACTAGCAGAAACCCGAGCTGAGCTGGAAGAGACACGGCGAAAGCAGTTCGATTATCATAGACAAAATTGGGGACAAATCGCCCTGCCTGTCAAAACGCGGTAGGGGTATCATTTCGTAAATAAGCAAAGGAAACAAGAAAGGAAGAGAAGAAAGAGAAGAAAGAGAAGAAATAGAAATGAGAGAAATGTGAGAAATGTGAGAAAGGTGAAAGAAAAGTGAGAAAGAAAAAAAAAAAGAAGGCCCCTTCAGAGGCGCCGAATGCCTCGGCGGCCAGAACTCTGGCCCTGGCGAACAGAATGTCGCTGACCAGCAGATTTGCGTCGGGGTGTTTGTTCAGCCCGCTCCATCAACTTCACCTGCTCTGTCTGCTCTCGCAGCTTGCAGGCTTTAACACCACGCCACCATCGAGTAATCACGTCACAAGCCAACTCTGTCCTAGCCGTAGCAATAGCACACGCGTACTTATTCCGCCTTTCTGTAAATGACCGCCATGCCCGTTGAATAACGATGGCAGAGCAGGCACGCTTTAAAGCGGAGGCCAAAGGATTCTCAGCAGGCGATGAATGATCTATCCTTTTGGGGACTCTAACAACATTTCCTCGAGTTTCACACAGAGCTACTCGCTTCAGTGACTCTATTTGCGCTTCTTCGGGTTTCGTTGTTATGTGTTTTTCGAAACTAGCGTTTTGCAAGACTGGACGAGCCATTTTCTCTAATTGGCTTTTGTTGTTGGTGATAACGGAAAGTCCAGGAGGGACATTTTCTTTGCCACCACCTGTTCCAGGGACATCAACTGTTGTCGCCCTTGCCTGGATAACCTTCAAGTTTTGCTGGAGTGGAGATCTCCGAGTAGATCCTGCCAACGGCTTTTGTAGCTGGTGTCTAGCACGCTGTGATATTAAGCTGTTGATCTCAGTATCCCCTGAGATATTTGGAACGGTGTCTTTGGTTCGCTTGGGTGAACTGTAAAGACGCACGAAGCCGGTTGGAGTGATAGAGCCATCAGACGGAATGTAAATTGTATCACATCGTCCTGAAGACTCCTTCCTCGACGAGCGAGGAGTCGGAGCTTCGTCGAGAAGACCTGACATGATGTCAAGGCTTCCTAACAAGAAGTGAGATTTCATATTGAGATGAGAACTGGGTCTATTATTTTGAAGGTGAGGGAACGTGTTGGGATTGTTGTAGAGAAGCGGTGAGGTCAATCAAGGGATGGAATCCAAGGCGGGGAAGATGCGGGGTGAGACTTGATGTTATCAACAGGCTCGTTCGACCGTACTGTGGCGTATCAAATCAAGAGAGATCGAGAATCGCGTGCCTGGAACAGTCGATTGCTCCGAGACCCGTGTTGACCTGTGGGCGGGTTGTCCAGGGCAACACGTGGGGGTCAACACGTGACAGTATCAAAGTATATCGGATGAAATAGGGTAGGAGGAACAAATCGGATCGAGGTAGAATGTTTTCTCCAGTGCAAACCAGCAGTCCCACCGAGTCCTTCATGCGAAGAGTGCACTCTCAGGTCTCGTTCCCCTCCAGGGCTTGCTGTACGTTCTTACCAGTGCAGATCGTTCAAGTCGGATATGACTCTAGTTCAATATATGTACTTCTTCATCACTCTGCCGAGGAGGATTGAGATCATGGTGTTACCCAAGCTGTCATCAGATAAGCCTTGACTGCATGAACCTCTTTCAACAGGTGCGCCACTAGCCGGTCATGCATGATGCCTGGGAGCCCGGCTTCGGCTCCAAGGCCCTGCATCCTTTTTGAGTATGAGTTAGCGGTCTCCCGCATGCGGGCCGATAGAGTCTCGATCAGTCTCTGCATATGTCCTAACTCCCGTAGCGTGACTTGCGCCTGAATAGCCAAACCCAGCGCCTGGTCGTCAACCGAGTGGTCTCCGATCGTGACAGGTTGTTGAACCACATTCTCCAACGAGGCAGGGCCCTGGCTGGGACCACTCTTTACGTTGTTTCCAGAGGAACTGCTGGGGCCATTCACAAAGCACGCGCGGATCATTGCGCGGTACCACGCAATTAGTCGGGAACAAATAATTGCTAGGATCAGCTGGTTCTGTGGGCGGAGTGCACAGACGCACTGTAGCATGCGGCAGACTGACATGCCTGCATCTTTATTTGCTTTAAGAACCGAGCCAGACGTGCGTGGTGGCCCGGGCTCCCTGCTATCAGAGCTGTCGCCGCTTCGGCGGGAGACACAACTGGTCTGGGGGATATGCAGTGAGCGAAGGGATTGTGTCGCAGTTATTATGCAAGGGGTGCGATGTTGCGCGATACAAGAAGCCGCCGCAGTTGAGGGTGGTGGTGGTGTTTGGAATGGGGTGAGGATTGAATCTGGGATAGCCAATAGTGGGGTGGAGAGGTCGGGAAGCGTGGAGCAACCCAGCGTCGGTTCATCATGATCAAATCCATTGGAGTCCACACGAGTCGTAGGAACAGAGCAGAGGTCGGGGACAGCGCCAAAAGATGTGGAATGAGCCGCTTCAAGGTTATCAAAGTATATACCGGGGTCAATATCGACATCCAAATTGAGATCTAGGGCGTCTATTGATGCATGTGCGAACAGACCATCACCGGACTCCACAGACGGATGAACTAGGTCATCATGGGCTGTACATTGGGCGAATATGGATTGCCAGTGGTCGTTTTCAAGAGGCATCGAGTCATCAGAGGAGGCTTGCATTATCAAGGATTGAGGCTCCATTGTCGCACGGTGGTAATTTTCCCCTGATTGCGCCTCAACCTTGGCTTGGATGCTCGGCCCGAGTGGGGCCTAACCCGATTGGGCTAGTGCTTATTTAATCTTAGTCTCGCGTTGGCCGGAGGAAGGTTTTTGGCTGGGGACACGACGTCAGTTTCTCTCAGTTCCTAACATTGAAAACATCGTGCAATTTCGAAGACAAAGTCATATCCGGGAAAATTGCCTGGATAATGCTCGAAGTGACCAATTGCTCCACGGCTTCGCTTGCATACCATACTTCTTATCTCTTGGCAAGGAAGGGCGCAAGTGGGTTGCTAGCGGGACCAAGACCTATCTAGGTAATGGAAGTTGAATACAAAAGCTACTCCAGTATGCCACAAAAAAGCTAACAAGAGAATTATTTATATCAGCGGGGCCTGTGTCTATGGTGGTCTTTTCACGACAAGCAGGGGCCAACGCCATGAATTGCAGTCGCATCCAAACTTCGCGACCGTCCAAAACCACTCTTCCGAACACCACCTCTTCGTTGCAAACCGCAAAACTCAAAGATTCCTGCGACAAATGCTCTGCCTCCAAAGTACGTTGTACGAAAGAGAAGCCTTGCTGTACCCGCTGCGATAAGCTTGGATACACATGCTTTTACAGCCCAGCAAGACGGGCTGGCCGCCCCTACCGGTCTAGAAAACAGTTCTCAGAGGGAAAAGACAGCGAGGAATCAAACAGACCCTTTGCCAGAGATATAGCAACTACCCGTTTCGTAGACGAGAGCGCGAGACTGTACTCCCGCTTCAATGGTGCCTCCACACCCGTCGACGTAACGTCCAACATCTCAAACTCAAATTCCACTTCGTCCAATAACAAAATGGCACAACCAGACCTCGTTACCGGAAAAGACCACGACGGCTCCGATACCGATTGTATGCTAGTTGCTCTGGACATATTCTCCGAACTAGAAGTGCCAGCAGAGCAATTGAGACGAGTGTTTCCCGTAGACGCAAGTCTTCTCAACACAATCACACAAACTATCACAACAGCCTTCCATCGCCTCTCTACAATTTTGATCTGCCGTTGCTCCGAGCGAGCGGAGGTGGGGATACTCGTTTCAGCAATTTGCATGTCCATCATTGACATGCATGCCATCACAATTTCAAATTTTGCGAAAGATCAGCCTTCCACTGGGCTTCTCGGCCAGCAGACGCCATGCGAGAGTCCCAGTGTCGGGTCTCAAAGGTCCCCTGAACATGATGCTATGTCTATACAGGTTTTTACGGAGCTTTCGGAGCTGGCCAGGCTCATTGTACAGCTTACTGAGCGCTATGATGAAGCGAGTGGGGCTTTAAATAGGAAGGGCCTAGGAAATGGATCGGAGCTGCCAACGGAAATTCTGCCAGGAATGGCTACTTACCTGCGTGAGAGTTTGCAGCAAATCACGAATGATGCTACTCATTGGCTTTAATAGATCTAGATCTCGTTCTTCAATGTGGGCTTTTCAGCACTCAATTCTGAGGCATTCCAATTTGTAGGATACTGTTGGCAACATTCTCCTCATGACATTCTCTTATTTTCATGACTATCATATTCGAAGAGGACACATTCAGTGAGGCCCTCTCCGAAATTAGTATATGTCAACCATACTATTATGTGATATGATGTGGAAACACAACGAGTTTTCGATTCTCGACCATTCCATGCTCACTGCCGTTTACACAATATCCGATTGTATGTATGTAAAAGTCTGGAGAGGTGTATGATGTAATGTGAGGTCGATGTTGAAGAGTAGTTGCACAGGCGACCTAGGTTCTAAACTATGGAAAAAGAATAGTCGGTTTGTAGATGTATTTATTTTTAGATATTTCCCCCTTTTTGTGTTATAGCTAGAATATAGACGGCGAGAATAGCTTAAAATATGTAACCCGACTTTTTCAGGCCATATTGTGACCATGCTATCTGTGGTCTATAACATATCGGGTTGTCATTGTTACCTACATGTAGGTATATTGTAGCCCTAGAGGTATACAGCCACTGTGCCACTTTGCCGCCTATGATGTCATAGGGTGCACGCTCCAATATAACAATGCTCTTCTGCCACCTGTTTCTTTTATTTTAATATTCATCATCTATAATCCTCTATATATATCCCCTACGTTGATTCTGAAACTTGAAGAATCTCCTTCAAACCAAATCTCCACATAATTCAATCAAACCATCATGCCGAACGAATCCAATCAAGATAAAGGCGCCACCGGCGCTGCCAAATTCGTCACCTCCACACTTGGGAACACGCTCGGCGGTGTCACCCGCACAGTGGGTGGAGTTGCAGGAACTGCCGGGCGAGGGCTCGGTGATACCATCACAAGCGCGACGGGGAGTACTGGCGAGCCGATTGGGAATGCGCTCGGTAATGTAGGCTCAGGTCTTGAGAACGGGGCGAAACGGGTCGCCCAGGGAACGGAAGATGCTGGGCAATGGAAATGAGATCTTCCGTCTCTTCTCCCTTTCTCCGGAGTCATCATAATCAGCCGGGTCATACCTCGTGGCCAACGATCCAAACTGTAGCAGGTCCGAGTCCCTGCAACTTTTCTGCACCTTCTGACCCGATATCTCCACGTCTTCATCTTGGTGTATGTTCTTTCGGATCTTCCAGCAGTGCTGGCCTTTGTCCGCTGCATCTGCTTGCGCAGCTCGTGGCCTTTGGTATCACTGTTATATATAAAAAAGTCCGCTGTACGGTTTATGTTTTTACTGCCTTTGTATACATCTATATAGGGAGTCTAGAAATAAGAGAAAAGTATCGATAGTGAGGGATTATCTAGAGATAGCATTTTTAGGCCTGCTTGTCGTTGCGGTATCGATCAAACGTATCCTCCGTGTAGAACCACTAAGAACCATTAGATCAAATTTAGATGTGATCTATGAAATGAGATTAGTGCCATGCTTCTCCCTAATGGTTCTCTATGGAACCTACCCATAAGGCATCCACTCGCAGCCTATGCTTCGTAGCCCTAGTTAATCAATCCTAGGCGTAATCAAGACGGCGCAGTTGCACGCCTCGTGTGCATTGAAGCCAAGAGATCGTAGATCGTATATTATTTGTCCGTTGACATGGCATGCGACTAGGTAGACGGGTTAGTATTATGTTTTTGGGAGTATTTTAGTAAAGAAATGCCGGGGAAGCCAGAAGAATTTCAAGGAAACTCACATCCAGTTGGTGTAGCGACAGAAGCGCTTGCCCAGGAACAAATCGACTTCACCACTCGCCTATTCTCTATCAGCTTGTGCTCATTTTACGAGTAGATATCTAGTATGCTCACGTTGATAGTTCAAAATAGCAACTTGATGGAGATTGCTCGGATCCGATCGTGGTCCTCTTAGTTCCCAGAAAACAACGTCGCTGTGGACAGATATCTTGGTTTGGGAATTATAAATGCCGTAGCAGTGTCCTTTGTCACCCTCGTACCCATCAAGGAAGTCGATCCATGCTGTTGGGTCAATTTACATTCCCCGGCCAGCGGGCTCTGAATTCTCGAACCATGTCGTCAATCTTCGGATCGTAGACCGCCGCGATGTGTTGGCTATGATTAGAGTTTCGTTTTGTATAAATGTATATATTTCTGAGTACCATCATCCACAGCCCAATATATATAATGGCTTTGTGCAACTCATTTTTCATCCTCGTTCCTGGAGTGTTGAACTCAGACGCACTCTTTCATATACGATGTACATGTATATATGGACATATGGCCGCTCTTAGGTAAAGTTTGTTGGAGCCACAGAGCTACCAAAGGGAGAGAGAGAGAAAAGAAGGAGAAACCATAATTGTTGGAGGTTTATATGCTACCATGCACTGGGGTGATGAAGAAGGAAGAAACTGTTGTCATTTAGACTAGCAAAAGAAGGCCTTTATATAGAGGCCATATAACTCAAACAAGCGCTCAGTCTGCCAGCAAAAACAGGCATCCATGGGGGATGGGATCATCCCAACAATGATCACTCAATTTGTCAAAAGCAAGGTATTTATATCTTGTAGTAGCAAACAAAGGCTCAGTCTGCTAGAAAACAAGCCTTTGAAACCAGGCTGAAACAGAGAAATCGGATCGGTTCAAAAAGTTAATGCTATTTTCAAAGACTATATTTAGCTATCGTCTTCTCTTTGCATTTTCTTGAAAGTCCTTTCCCATACTTCCGCAGATGGGACCAAGCTGTCATGGTCAGTGCCAGACACGACGCTCGAATCAAATTGAACCACACCCCTCAAGTCCCCATCATCCATTTGATGCCAGCATCTCTCTACATAAGCTTGACCCTTCTTGCCAATCATGCTATCGGACTCAGCGAAGAACGCCTGAACTTTCAGTAGCGCTCCACCTCTCCCTCTTTCAAGCTCTAGCAACTCACGCACAAATACCTCATAATCTTCACATTTGCCCCACGTGCCAGGCTCCTTCCGTAGACACTGCAACGCCTCGCTATTAGAGCCGACTGTGTTCTCCTTAAACATACATTGCATCATCGAAGAGTCTATCTCCTTCTGTTGGTCTAGGTCTAGTCCGTAGTTCTGGGTAATGTAGAGACGATTCTTTGCCTGGTCATCACCGCTCTTTGAGGGAAAGGAGGCAGAGAGATTAGCGATCATTGCTCCACTCGCCGCTGTTGCAGACCCCTCATTGGCGAGGAAGAGAGGTGGGATACGATTCCAGAGCTTAAAGGCTGGGGTAGGGATATATTGGGCCATTTTCATGGATGTAATGCCTGATTTAGCGGGGTCGACCCATGGCGCTATCGTGTGGTTAATACATAAAAGAACAAAGTGGCCTGCAGGAAATGCAACATACCAAGAAGGGTGACCATCGGTTTCTCGGGATACAGGATATCCCGGCAGTAATATAGGGTATTAAACAGATAAATAGTGCCAGCACTATGCGACGCCAACGAAACATGCTGGATGTCTAAATGGGCCAAAAGCCGTGGGACAGTCTCAATCCAGGTGCAAACTCGCTGCGCTAGCGGCACGTCGGTGGAATTCCCCATCCCAGGACTACATGCGATGTGACCTTAGCCCACTTTGTGTATTTGGATATAAGAGGGCTAGGGCTGAATACACCTACCGATCAACAACCAAAACCCGCACTCCCCATTTCTCGGCAATCGCGTGTAGACAGATTCCGATGTACCGGGATGAAAACATGCCCGGCATTAAGAGTAGTGTCGGAGTAGTTCCGCTCTCATCGGGCTCGCGGCCGTAGTCGGCGTAAGTCACATTGAGAGGACCATGGGTAGGAGTTGGCTCGATGGTGAAGGAGCGATGGAAGCGGGGGTTGGAGACATAAGAGGTAGCAAACGAGCGCGGGGATGCTGGGCGAGATTCCATCGCGTAGATAGTTGAAATGAAAAGATAGTTAAAGATAGAAAAGGTAGAGATTTTCACCTCGTATTAGGGGGGGAATAGGCATCTATCAAAGGAGAGTAGTAAGCTTGGATGTGGCGGCCTAAGGCTGATAATTATCTTTCAGCCGCAATTTCTGTGCTCAACTTTTCCAAATTGCTCATCTACTGGCCCCTTTTGTCAGTGTATTAATATGTTACATTGTGCAATGGGATATCCAAAGGAAACTTTTGCCTCCGTATATCGGTAAATGAAGGGCCAGGTGTACTTCTGGCTGTGTTGCACGCAGCGGCAACGGCGAAAGCAAGACAAACCAGGTGGACTGTCAAGTAAACGGCATGTATTCATCGTGTGCAATTTGTGATCAGATCAATGAGATCATTCAGTTGTCGAGAGAAATCAGTAGAAGTTCGGTGACGGAAAGTGTTGAATATTGCTGCCTGGTACCATGATGTAAATTGATATTACAAACAGGCATTTACTCGGATGCGTGATTCGATTGCCCCGAGAGATAGATAGAGAGAGAGGTGCATGACTCATGTTATATAGCATCAAATACCTGGGCAGGGACACCTGAGGGCAGGTTAGTGACAAGTGAATAGCGAAGTGCTGAAGGGTATAAACTCGTTTTTCATGCGATACCATGAAAGGAAAAACACATGAGACAGTTAATGACTCACACGAGCGCATAGTTACCTAGGTATAGTTGGTTTTTGACCGTGACTCCGGTTGCCAGTCTAGGAAGTGGGGTATAACTATACAGTTGTGCTTCCATACATTCTGATACAACATATATCGAAGCAGAAGAAAGCAGTCTGAATATTTAATGCGATATTGAGCGTCGAAAGCATCACTGTCATGATCTATGATTCCATCGACGAGATATCCCATATAAAATAGCCCCTGCCAGTGCAGGTGTCGCATTATACAGTAGGGGCCCCAGCAAAGATATCCCACGAAGATCGCCAGCAATAAATGCAGACTCACCTTATCTTACCAATAGACATTTACAGTCTTCGTCGCGCGGCCATATATCAAAAATATGTTGTATATCACAAGCCCTACGTAGTACATCGCGTAGGGCAAGCACTGACGTATATAGCATAGATCGACGTAGAGCCATCTCGGAAAGCTACAAGTCACGATCAAAGCACAAGCTACCATAGCAACCAGCCTCGCTCGATCACCGTGCCATACCCATCTCCTGTGATGTCACTAGTGCGGAGGGTCAAACAACCATCTGAAACGGGTACGTTGTATATTGTAGGTTGGAAGTAAGTTAAAAGCTCAAGCCCCCATTTCTGGACCCATGGTCGAACAAAGCGCATCGCTGATCTGGATATTAACTTCATCCACAGACCGGTTCATCCCGTCCTCGTATTATCGCAACCGCTGTAATCGCCTACAAAACACCCCAGCTTGAAACGGGCGTCATATTGCACAGGGATTGGCTGGCGATCGAGCGAATGATAGGACGGTATATTGTAGGTTCTTGCGCGATGACGTAGGTTGGGTTTTGGTTTGCGATAACTCCCGCCCATCTCCCCTCTTTCGGTGATCATCCATGGATATTTCCATGGTTGGATGCTCTATGGTTGGGTTATTGCGATGGACATGAAACTGAAACACTGTTTCGTGTGCCGCTCGTCCATTATATGATGTACACCCTGTGTACTCCGTATGCGGAATACAATATATTGGATATGTAATATTGTAGGTTTGGGTCTGGTTTTGAATTCAATGTTGCTGTTTCGCATGTGTCTCAGCCCGTGTCATCTCGACGCCCTATTGAAAATGATATCATCCCGCCTATATCGTATGGACTGATATAGAAAATTTCAATAATCAATGCCGTCTCATGCGCGGAGTGTCCACGGGTGTCAAACCGCATCAATCATGGTCATTTGGGCTGTAGATGCGACCTGCTATAATACCGGAGACTATAGATGGTCATTAGTAGGTAGAGAGGGTCTCCCTGGCTGCTGACACCCAGATGCGACCGTTCCGAATTCTCATCTCCGTTCTGCGGTCTGCGGACTCACTCAAGGATTAATTTTCCGGCATCCGATGCCGTGTTTTGAAGCACGGGATTCCCATGTACTCCCCATGTTGAAACGATCATTGGCAAGTCGATTTCTCACCCGACGATCAAACATGAGGGCCAACCATGTTCAACGGAGAGGAGGTCCATGGGCAGAAGCGCTTCCAGAATATTTGCACCTGCCATGTTGAACAGTGGCGATACGTTGTACGCCGAAATTGAAATGTCAGAAATGTCGCCGATATCCTGGTGCCTTGGACTTTGAAGAGTTCGGGCGCATCTGACGTGGATTCGCAGGGATGAATGCCCATAGTGATGGCAAAAGGCAAGAGCCGCGATATTGCGCAAAGTGGCGTGTGCCAAGGCGTATATCTGTGCTCTATGAGAGGTTGCTATATTTGTCTACGCAGGTCTCTGGATAGGTTATACTGTATGCCTGCAATAGAAGACGTGAAGGGACGCCACAGTGTCGATCGTATCCTAATCCCAATAGTGAAGTGTACACCATAAACATGTAACTATCTATAGATACCATGTACAATGTACAAGGGAAAATTCGTGCCAGCATACTCCGTACTAGGCATCCGAGTAACCAGGTAATGGGCAGTGCAGGGACAGGCTTTCAACACCCAGGCTACAGATCTCAATCGGACCGGACCGAGTCAAACGGCCAAGCCTGTAGCCCGTCGATCCCGAGCCAAAATAAATAGAACACTGCCACTGCAACCCCCTAACTCAACGCATTATTGTCACTCGGTGCGACCGCTTGGCACAAACAATAGCACGTAAATAGTCAAGAGCGGTGCCAAGACTCTATATTCATGTACGCTCACGGTGTCGGTATGATCACCATGATCGCCCTTGGCAAGGCCATTCCCCCATACAGCATTCGATAACTGCACGACCGAGACAAGGCGTCAATGGCTCGTTTTTGAGAATTCGCTATCTGTAGCACAGTGCTTGGCATCGAGAGGGAACCCTATCATAGAGCGGATGGTTATCGAAGGGGTTTAGTGCCAAGAGCTCTTTAAGAAAGGGGGTGTATTAGAATAGAATCATTGAACCTGAACCCCCCTTTGTCGAGAACCCTCCTCCCTTGCTCTTTCTACCCCGTATTGTCACCCCGGAAATACTATTGTTCTCCAGGACGGTTCCATACCAGGTCAAGTCATACCGGGCGCATTCTGAAGATTCAATGCCTAGCTCTTGGCAGTTTGCTTCACCACGCGCTGTTGCCAAGCATTCCTCCGGTGTGGCCTAGAGCAACTGGCCGTCTCCTTGCACTGTGCACTGCCGGGTAGGTCATTGATCTGCCTGTTCTACCTGTCTTGCCGAGCAGCATTTTGTGAACCCCCAGCTTTATCTTGGCGGGGAGGTCATGAGGTTGGTGTTTATGCTGTGACGTTCCTCGGGGGAGATCTGCTCAATGGAACGGTGTTCTCAGTGTGAGGCGCGGGGTGGCCTTGGCATTGTCCGAGTCGGACTCGGTACTTAGTTGATTCTTTGACGTGGTGAAGACCTGGGGTATTGGGGTATGTATCGGGACCTGTGATGGTCCATACTAGAGATATCCTGCACAGACCAGCAATTGGTATGATCTTAGTCCCTGTGTATTGTCTTTGTGTGAAACATATAGGGGGATCTCTTTGTCCTCGGGGGAAACAACCACGATCTGCCAAGATCGCAGTCGCATTCCTGTCCTCTATACGGAGTATTGATTGAACAAAGAGAGTGGCCTCTTTCCAAATTGGGATAGATGAAAATCAATTGAAATCATTCAGAGTCAGGTGATGTCAATGGAAGAATCCATATGATTATATTATTTGAGACAAGAACATCAAAAGTCAATTCCTAGAAACAACAGCAAACGCCGACAGGGCTTTAGTACGTAACTGCATCTGGCACAGTGCAGTAGCCCAAAAGTGGAGGAATATGAAAATGCCTCATACATAGTCTCCTGTGCTGGTAAATCCTCGGGTTATTTCAAACCATTTACCCGTCCCGCTTATCGCGCATGCATTGCAGCTTGCATTTGTCCAATCTCTTTGCATATTGACACTCCACTTCTCCCGGTTGTGTTTCCGGTCAACCATTCTAGTATTATTCTATGCGCTTCAATTTGGAGTAGTTCGAAGAGAAGACGTTCTCAGAGTGAAATAAACATCCCGCTCGTGCCATCCTCTGCCCGGAGTCCGTATCCCCACCTGCACAGTTCACACCTTATTGCGCTACAGAGCAGACACATCACAACATTACGGAGTACGGAATACACTTGGCGACTTGGGGTTGGGGTAAGTGCTATAGAGCGGGTCAAATTGCCAATCGTCTAAGTGACTGCCACGATTGTTGAGCGGAGAAATTCCCACAATTAATTCTACAATCCCATCGTGCCACGAACACAACGCTACTACTAGCGACCCCTTCGCATCAAACCATATTCCCGTCATATGTTGTATAGAACATCCCGGCATACAAACTTCTCGCTTCTTCCTACTCCACTTGGGAGAATTTCTCCGTGGGTTTGGGTCTTCTTGGCCATTCCACAATATCCCAACCATATGGTGAGCATTGTCGCCCAGGATTGGATCCCATTTTAATTTCCCTGTCCCGTTTTTGCGGGAGAGAGAGCCCAAGCCCAAGTCTAAGGAGTGAGGGGGTGGCCAAGAAAACAGCCGTTTCTATTCCCGTCTAAGAAGTCGCTGCCAGCGCGGGAACTTTTGACCTGCATGTGCGGAGGACTTTGTAGACAGCGACTCTAGGTACGTTCGTATCCTTGCACAATTCCGGATACGATGTATATTTTCAAAACAGTGTTTTGCGCCCCGGTCCCCTTCTCCATATTGGGAAACCGAAGAAGTAAAAGCATACTAAAAATACGGCGAATTGCTCTATACGCAAGTCCGCCGCTCGTCCGTAGACAATTAGTTGTCCTTGTCCTATGTAC